ATCGGAAGTGCATTAACCTGGATCGAGACATCTCTAAAAGAGACATTGGGGGGGCAGTGATTCGCCTACTTGTTATGAATGCTGGCGTACCATAAAGACTACATTATGAACAGTTTAGTTTGTTCCTTCAACTCGTTGCCCATAGGAAGACGTTACTTGGATATAACCTAATGGAATATCTTCAGAACGGCCCAAAATGACACAAAACTAATATGGGTGAGTAGAACATGATGTAATAACATAAAATCAAGGGCCCAATGTAAAAAAAAAAAAAAAAAAAAAAAAACAGCATTCCCCTTTAAGTGGGATACACCACGCTTCAAAATGTGCAAAACGCCTGAGGTTCAGAGACTCTCCCACCATAGTCTCCTAAAATCCTGTGGGAAACACTGTATCCATGCTTTAAATGCAAGCAAGGTGTGAGTTTTTGGTCTGACGTTATATCAGAGACCTTTACCTACCAAAATCGTTTTATTTTGTGTAGATTCAGTGAAAAGGCAGGAGAGGAATCAGTGGAAATGTAGATGCTGTGCAGAAGGTTCTGTTGGCAGGGTTTGACTCCAGGCTTCAGGCCACTGGATCTGCTTCCAAAGGCAGCAGTCTCTGGGCAGAGACGAGCACGCCATCAGCCACGTCCTCTTTCATCCGCACACACTGTCTGTCTCATCTCATTCTGCCGACTTTCAGAACTAAATCTAATCCCAGTTGTTTTAATTTGCCATTTGCTGCAAACCCACTGAGCATTTTGCCCTGTTAATTGATGCACATGCATTCCAAAACTGCTAATGTGGAGGGAGAAAAACGGACTCAAAGCACTGAGGCACAATTTACCGGACAAACCGCAGCTTGACCCTTTTTAAGATAAAAATGCATAGCAGCTCAACATGTTGCCGGAGATGAATATAATATGCACAGATGTGCAGCTTAACATCTCACTAAAGCTGAATTTAAAAAAAAAAGGAAGATTATCAGAAACCTGGACATTTAATGCAAGTATTTTTGAGTCTTATTTGGGAGGGTTGCCAGGTCTATCAGGAGGAAACTGTAAGGCGGCAGGTGGTGCAGGATGAGATTATGGAAGCCTGGTATTAATCTTGTTAGTATAGCATGACTCGATGAATAAATAACATTGGGTGCTCTGCAGTCAGGCTGCACAGAAAGCAGATTTATTAACCTCTGTGGTGTCGGATCATAATGCCATCATCTTTCTTAATGACAGTCTCAGAAGCTTCGAGATGAACCGATCCAGCAGCCCTGCAGAGCTGTTGCTGAGGCCACTTTTACAATAACAACACCCTCCCTGCAACCTGTGGCTGAGTTTCATTTGTTTTACTTTATTTTGGAGGATGTCCAAAGTTCAGAAGTCATGTCAGTAATGCTGATTCTCTTCAAATGATTGATTTTATTCAGTAATTCAAATAGAAGTTATGCAGTATTTGTTTGGGCATCTGAGATTGATGCAGCGGAGGATTGTTTTTTGTTTTGTTACCCGGCGTCCACAGAGTCGATCTGTATAATACGGTTTAATATCAGCCATAATAGTGAGACGTTTGTCTCAGTGCGTCTTTGAATAAACCCATTCAAATGTATTAAAAGTATCTTCTGTACTGTATCTGCTTCAGCTCTTGGTCGGAGTTCTTTTTGCATATTTCCCTTTAAGTGTGGCAGGGAGCCAGCCGGATGGTTGCTCTCCTGAGGTCTAATGGAAGATCAGCTTGTTTTATTAGCAGCCTTCAGCTCATCTCTGTTGTTAGATCTGCTGTTTATCTTCCTTTTGATAACCCATTGATTCTCTGCAGGGTTTAGGTTTGGTGAGTTTGCCATCAAGCAGAGTGGTACCATGTTTATTAAAGCAGGCATTGATGATCTTTGAGGTGTGGGCAGATACCCAAATCCTGATGCATATCTTGGCGTTTTCAGCAGAGGGAAACACTTTGCTGTGAAACGTCCCCATTGAAGCCTGTGCCAACCCATGAGATCCACGCACTGGACCTCAAACTTGTTGGATTCTGTATCACTCCACTCTGGCTCTTGGCTATGAGGTCTTGATGTTAAAGCTAAATATAAACTGAGGACTTTGGACCTCCGAGGAACGTCCGCTCTGATGTTATCTCTGCTGCAGTCTTGGCTAAGCACAGGAATTCAACAGAAGAGAGATTCAAAGACTTGTGCAGCTTGTTCCCCTTGAGGCTGTAACACAGCCTTTGTGGCATAGAAATGATCAGTGTGCCATTTTGCAAAAAAAAAACTTTTATTTATTGTAATTTATTTTTGTTTTTTCAATTGAGATTTCATTAAGATTTACTCTGTTCTAACAAGAAAACTGTACGTATTTGGCTTGAAGTTTTCATTTTCTTGGTGGCCTTGAATGCTCTCGCCCTACACAGTTTTTATGTCTAACTGCCAAACAGAATGAGAAAGTTGGTGTTCATTTTCAAATAATTTTCGAAGACCAAAACTTGAGAACTGTATGTTATTACTGTGGGATGATGGTGCAAATCTAATTAACTATACAGGTCTATTAATAAAGTTTTCCTTTGTTTTTTGCCTCATGGGAAAAAGATGTTCTCAGAAATTTAGGATTTTCATCCATTTAAGCTACAAAATAACTGATCTGTTACTGATTTATACAGTTTCACTTTTCAACTGAATGATTTTAAAGAAGCTTTTATTGGATTTTCTGGTTTAGTGAAACCTTTTTGCATGAATTGACGTGTTTAATTTTTTAAGCTGAACTTTCTCTGACCTGTTTAGATCTACTAAAACCGGAAGTAAGATGAGGACATGTTTCGCCTCGGTCGTCTTTTTCTCGTTAACTAAATGAAGGGTTGATTGCTGGTGTTTCACCCCATTAGTTTGCTTTTTTTCTTTTGTCACCAAGCTTTTACATTTTAAAGTTAATGCCAAGTGATTCAATTCTCCAGTCTCCAATTTTACTATAAAAATGCTTGAAATGGATTTTATCAGAGTGTTAGAACAGGAACCAGGACTGTTTTATTCAGAGTCACTGTTTCTGTTGTTTCCAGCTAGTGACGTGCTCTGGGGCGTTTAAGGAGGGATCTCTTCGGATCATCCGAAACGGCATTGGGATTCATGAGCATGCCAGCATCGATCTTCCGGGAATCAAAGGTTTGTGTCTCCTGTTTGTTGAAACCTAAGTGTTATCCAACAGTTCCTCTCAAGCGCTGACATTATCTAGCCCTGAATCCTCTACTGCTTTGCCAATGGAGACACTTGAACCTGCACATCTGTTTGCCCCAGCAGCCACAGCGCCAGCTGCTGATCTCTCAGGCTTGGCAAACAACACTAAGCAGATGCAGAGCGTGTCATAGGTCTTGGCATGTTGCTTTCAAAGCATCAGGAAAGCTGCCAGTGTTGATTTTGGCGACATTTGTTTTCATTTAGTGAACCAAAACACACTCCAGTGTCCGCTGTGGGAAGCAGTAAAGTGGGGAAATGCAAAATACCTCAAATTTAGGTTCCTCTCAAAGGATTTGTCTCATGCTTAAGCTAGACGTACAGGCCACTAAAAGGTCTGCTTGCACTTGTTAGGCTTCTGTTATTTATTGACATTGTCTGCCTTGAAACTCCCAGCTGCTGGCATGCCCCCTGGCTTCCAGATGAGTGGCGATTATTTACTTTTCCAATCGATTTCTCTCTGAGAAGATCCTGCAGCCTGTTCATCTTCAGAAATGTTTGCATTTAACTGATGGAGCAGTTAAAGGTTCAGGTTGATCCCTGCAGAACGGCACCAATTAAATTTCATTCCTGAATTCCCTCACTTCCAGGTTTATGGCCACTTCGCTCTGAGGCAGGCAGGGAGACGGATGATATGCTGGTTCTGTCTTTCGTGGGTCAGACAAGGTGAGGATCCACTCTGCAGCCTGGCAGATATTCATGCTATCAATTCTGATTGCACAAATCTAAAATAAAATTGCTTTTTTTTTTTTTTTTGCCTGCAGAGTGTTGATGCTGAGCGGAGAGGAGGTTGAGGAGACGGAGCTGCCAGGCTTTGTGGACAACCAGCAAACATTTTACTGTGGAAATGTTGCACATCAACAACTCATTCAGGTTCGTACACAAACACTGCTGTGAAAAAGGTGTTCTCCCCTTTTCACAGATTCAATTTCTGCTTTTCTGTTGCACCTAAATGTTTCGCATCATAAAAAGAATTTAACTGTCAAAGTTAAACAGAGTAAACACAAGCTGTGGTTTTCAAATCATGGGTTGTTCAGGGGAGAAAAAAAAGCACCCAGACTTACCTTGTTTTATAGGTTTGTTTCTACTGGATTTTTCTGGGCTAATGTCCCGACAGAAGTTCTGCTGTTTGTTTGCAAACACCAAATTTAAACCCGGTCACCCATGCTGGATATCAGTTTTGACAAAATAAATGAAGCAAAAAATTGTGCTTTTAGTTTCACTCGATCCTTTTTAAAGGAGCAAGCTTAAATATATATGTTCATTAACAAAATTTCCATACATTGCTAGATTTCTGTCCCTCTGCACTGCAGGTTCAGTTTGAGCCTTTTAGATCTTAATATAATAAATTAAAACGATCCACTGTCTGCAGCCTCTGTCTTGCTGCTGTGGACACATCACACAGGCTTTAATTATTAAGTATCTGCAGATTATTGCATCTTCTGAGTTAAAGGTGATGAATTTCAGTTTCTCTTTCTACTCCTGCATCACCTTTTGAATTGATCCAATCTCACAGTCTTAAAAAAAAGTGGCCTCTACTTTTGGCCAGAAATCGGTTTATTTTTTCTTCCATTTTGATTGAAAAAAATCTTCTTTCCCACTGCACTCCTTTCGTGTTACGTGAGGGCTACAATCAGTCCCTGATTAGTAGTGGCTACATGACAGCTTAAGCAATCCCCTCTTTGCATCCGACAAAAGGCATCTTCCAAAGTAATTCTTTCTTGATAAATCAGAAATTTAGGATGTTAAACTGCATATTTATGGGGGGGAGGGGAAATACCAGCTGATGAAAAACAAAGTCTTGAATTGAATTACTTTGGGAAGAGTTAAAGTCATTTCCAAGTCTTATTTAAACCAGAAATAGTGGTACTATATATACTATGTACTACAAAGCATGCTAATAAACCAACATGGCGAAAGTTTGATGACCTGGGGCTTTGTTAAGATCAGGGTTAGTTTTAAGGCTTGATGAATCTGTGAAATCTGCTCTCTTCCAATTATCCTGAAAGATAGTGTTTTACAATCAGCTTCATTTAATCAGTGGTCCAAATGTCCTCATCAACCTTGAAAATGACTCCCTGCCACTTATTGTAAATGTTCAATGGCAGCTGGTTCTGGCCAGTTAAGTCAGTTACTTTCTTACATAAGGCCAGGCTGGTATAGATAAGTTATTTCCTTTAATAATTTATATAATTTTTTTTAAACTCATTTTTAAACTGGCTTTTGTTCTTTTTGTCTGGTTAAAATCAGTTTAATGACTTAAATTCATTTACATTTTACAAACAAGCAAAGACAGAAGATCTTTGAAATGAATTTAATTCTGGGTCTAAAATTAATTTCAAAATATGTATATTTAATTGTGGCTCTTTGATATTTTATTAATCCACGATATAAGGAGTGCAAAAATACTTCATGCATTTTAAACTTGGCCAACATGAATATTGTACTCCGTTTAAACTTGCTCTTCAGTCTTTATTTTTGAAAACCAGATCATCCCTGCAGGGCGTTCTACCAAATTAATATTTAGGATGCTGGGACAGACCTGCTACTGCTCTAATGATAGAAAATGTTAATGTCTCTTTTACCACGCAATCAGTCTGCATTGTTTACACTAAAAACAATTATAGTATTCTGTATTAAAAAAGACAGTTGCTCATCTCTGGCCTTCAGGCCTAAAGTAATTTAATAGAAGTAGCTGTTGATTTATATTAAAGTTTTAACGTTCATTGTCATTTTTAATGTGGCTTTCAGCTTAGCCGTCACATTAAAACTACGGTAACAAAACCTGTGTAAAAAAAAAAACTGAGTGTAGACATTTGTCTTTTTTAAAGATATAATTGCATAAAAACTGCATGCACAGCTTTACTTTTATGTACTTTATTAATAAATGACTTCAGATAACATGAAAGCATTGTTTGTTACGCATAATGAGCATAATGTCTGACTCTGCACCCGTTTGCAGCCTTTAGCATCGGTGTAGCTCATTATTTGGGTCCATCATCCTGCACCAGCTTGGCTGTTTTAATTAACCTTGCAGTTAAAAATGTGTGCAGCTCATTTCAGTAAACAAGTTTGAGGCGAATGTGCCTTCTTCCAAAGCATGTAGTTTAAGGCCCCGAATCTAAAGGCGCAGCTTGTAAACAATGCTGAGCATCAGGAAAAGCGTACACGTTCACCTCAAAGGGAGCAGCAGACTAAATCAGAGTTCAGACGAGTTAATGTGGAACTAATAGAGCAAATGGTCACTAACACAAATTTAATGAGAGTTTTTGTTTTTTTCTAACTGAGATATGCTTTGAGTGTTTTTCATTTTGAAGCAGTCCCTTTGCTAATTGGTCTTTGAGGCTAACTTTCTAATTTTGATTCAGATAGACGCATAACCCCAGTCAGATTTTAAAAACATAACAGTAAGTGCATTTTATTGTGTGGACTTCATTTTAGTTTTGATGTTTGCCATCTATGCCTTGGACAGCACTAGTTAGCTCTTTTAAAGAAAATAAATACTCCTGCAGTTTGATCTGAAGCATCAGTATCACCACTGTAGTAACATTACTGTTAAAGTATTCACAACCTTTGAGGTTATTCAAATGTTGTGACATACAGTATGTTTTCTTTTGGTTTAATGCGGAAGACCAACAATAAATGTTACACATTTGTGGCATTAAAAGAAAAATTATGAAATGAAAATCTAAAAGGTGCAAATTCACGTTTGCGCTCTTTATTTTGATACCCAAAAAAAAAGGGCTTCAAGAACAACTTTCTCCCTTCAGAAGTAGTCATAGTACGAACCTCTTTTTCATTTTTTTTATTTAAAACTGCGTTCTCACTAAAAACCTGAGTTTTTCCAAACCGAGTTGACCTGCTAATAATCAACTTTGGGCTCTTTTCACATTTAACTAAAAAGCTGAATCCGGCCCCCTCCTGATAAGCTGTGCGCCCACTGTCAACCACCCATCACCTCCCCACTCCCTTTCTGATGATTACATCACGTAGGGTGAGTTTTGATGATGTCGAAAGTGTGACGGAAATAAGGGAAGTAAATAATGGAGAGCAACATGAACAGGAGCCGGAGTGTAGTCAGTATTCTTTATTATTTTTGCTCTTTCATGTCTGAATCCTTCACCAGAGCAGCTTCGTGTTTATGGAATGTAAGCAGAGTTGTTTCGGCTTGTTACATCAGAAGTAGGGCTGGGTATTTTCGCCAAAGTCCTGAATCGATTCGATTTTGATTCATACAGTTCTAACTTGATTAATTTCGATTAGATCTGTTTTTACAATAATGAAAGTGGTTCAACTGTGTTTCAGAATACTCATGTATTTTGTTTTTTCCTGTCACATTAAACACAAAGTGCAAACTTGTAAATCACACAGTTTAAACATGAGATGTGAACAAAACTGTCTCATAAGTGCAAACTTGTTTGTGAAAAGTGAAAAAGTGAAGCCTCACTCAAGCAAGCAGACGTGACACAGCAGACATCCATGAGCTGCATTATCTTCACTGCACAAACCATATTTGCAGCATTGTCTGTATCAACTACAGGGTGTTTTCTGGTCAGCCCCCATTTGTTAATGTCTTCAGTTGACCTATTGAGTATATTTGCAGCTATCTGGCTTTAAGTAATCTGTGGTGCATCTTTCCTGCCTATTTGAATGTGAACGTCACGCGGGTCACTTTAAAATTAATCGATCTCATTCCCTAGACATCAATTTTGCAAAAATGTAAAGGAATTGATTCAAAATCGATTAAATTGATTTTTTTTTTTACCTAGCCCTAATCAGAAGCGACTGGCACGTTGTGTTGACGTCCGTATGTTGCTTTCAATTGTGTCACATGATTTAGGGGGTCAACCCGGGTCTGCCTGAGGCGATTTTAACGCGGACGCTTATCGAGTTGTTTTACCCAGGTAGACGCTCGTCAGTGAGCCGTTCCCGCTACCGCTAAAAGCCCATTGCTCCCAGGTTTAAACCAGTTTTTCAACCGGTGGGAAAGGAGTCTTAGTGAGGATAGAGCTGCTCTGCAGCATTTCTGAACAAACTGTACCATGACGATCAAGGACTACAACACACATCATATCCATGATCATTTTGCAGTGCATGTTAGAAATTAGGGCTTGGAAATTGTTTGCATTAGCACTTCACAACTTAGAAAAGCACAATTTTTAAATCACAGAGGCACTCCATTTTAGTCACATTACATTTAGCAACAGTAAGACACTAAATATTTCCCTCCAGCCCTTTAGGTGCCGGTAATACACTTAAAAGTGGGTTTGCTGCCACATAGAGGGTAATAGCCAGTTGCAATGCATTGGCATACCTTTCAACCATTCATCATTATTCCACTAATTATACACTACTTAGGCTTGGTCTATCCCAAAAATACCACAAAATGTTCATTTGCATTGTAATAGAATTCCGAATAAATAAAGCAAAGGTGTAATTTCTTTGGCAAAGCAGTTTGTTACATTTTGGTGATTGCCCAGCTTGTTCTTTTAAACATTCTCTGAGACAAACTTGCATGAAATTAAGTTAACAGATTCCAGCAAAATAAGCCATATTTAATGTTTCTTACTAATTAAAAAAGTTATATATGTTGGAAAAGCAAGATTAGCAGTGCTGTACAATGTGAAACGGCTTGTGTAGCATTTCTATTTTCAGTCTGTGAGCCCAGAGATTAAAGTCTTTTGCTTAAAGCGTGATTCATTTAGAGCGCACCCTCATAAAGGCAGCAGTTTATACAAAACTTCAAATGTATTCAGATGCTAAACTGATACACACCATCCGGATGTTTTCATATTAAGCAGGCATGGATTAAAAACTCATTTAGGATTCATAGAATCTTGCATGGACTGACTTTTGCTTGCTGCAAACTGAACAAAACTTTGTTTTTTTCCTCTTCCGCAGTTTATTTCAAGGATTATATTCAGCATCCTGTGTTAAAGTTATGTTACCTTTTCATCTCATTACACAGCTGTAGTACTTGTTCCTTCAAACGGTGCAACACATCCATTTATAGTTCCACTCTTCTCGGTACCTGCAGCAATCCTAATAATGAGGTTACAGTAGCTCGTTATTTATCTGGTCTCATCATTGCTGTGTGGCTCTTAGATAATTATAGTTAAGAAGAATACTGTTTTTCTTTAGCCACAGGGGTTATATTTTTAAGCTTTTACAAGTACAGTACAACTAAAATGTTAAGAAATGTCCATTAAAAAGCAAAGTTTAGCATTTTAGATTGAATTGACTATTATAGAATATCCTCTATTCACCAAAAGTGAGGAAATACAGGCGCTTCTGTGGCAAAGTAACTGGAAGCATGAAGGTACACAGGACTAGGAAAACTGCTGCAACAATCAATGAGAAAACAGGCTCTACAGCAGGAGTAAACAAGGACGATCTTAGAAAATAAAACACTTTTCGGGTATTAAAAAATTGGAAACTCCGTCTCAGATTAAACAAAACATGTTCAAGATGTGAAGGAAAACCGCATTTCAGTTTAGAGCAGCATGGAGTTGAAAACATTTAAGGAGCATGTATAAAAACCCTGCTTCACATGTCCGAAGCTTATATTTTCAATGAAGTCAGAATTCGGCCAAAAGTGCAAATGCATGATAAATACCGATTTTTATTAAATTTTATTAAAACATAAGCATCTAATCTAATCTAATCTCCACATGCTTTTTGAATTATCTATGCATGCAGATTTAATACCATAAATACCCCAATATATCACAAGCATGAGTTTATGGTCCTCTGCGCTTGTTGCTTGATTTTATGTACCTGCAACTTCCCTGATTTCCGGGGACAGTCCCCGTTTTGGACCACCTGGAAATGTCCTCGATTTTACAGTTTTATGAATGAGGGCGAAATTTTGCATGTAGACTGCTATTACGGTAGAATGAGCGGTTAGGGGCGGGCTTGGCGGTGCAGTGATTAGTGCGCACGACGCATGTATGGAGGCCTGTGGTCCTTTCCCGCATGTCTCTCCCCCTCTATCATACCCCCTTTCCTGTCAGCCTACTGTCCAGGAAAACGAGCCACTAGTACTGTAAAAACTCTTTTTTTTTTTTGAGAAAGCTTAGGCATATTGCACGCAGAAACCGCTATTAGATGCTGGTTGGCTGCTGTGAACGAATGGATAAGGAGCAGAGCGCAGCACTACACCGAAATCCCACATCCTCTGCAACCACCAGACAGCCTGCCCAAAGCCTACAGCCTCCACGGTTCCTCCCATCTTGCTTCGCTCCAACTCCCTCGTGGCTCAAGGAGAGCATGCACGACTTTATTATTATTAAATTCATAGGAGCAAAACATACGGAAATAAATGCTTGATTTAATGACATAATTAAAACTCACCATCAGCATCCACCACGTTTCTCCCCAAACATTTCTTTTCGTTGTGCATCATTGTATTAGGGATAATTAGGATCATACAAAATTGGTTTGTTCTCTACCTCCAATCTCAGCATCTCTTAATCCATGCCTGCGATAAGAAGTTCGTTTTGAAGTTGTGAGATGCGCTCTTGCAAGTTGTGTCTAGATTTAATGAAACTTTTAAGCCTCTTAGTATAAAATAAATATTTTGATCGAGATGAGAAATTTGCTTCATGGTACGCTGAAATACCAATAGTTTGCATCCAATAATTTAAATAAACGGTCTTAGTTGTTGGGAAAAAACAGAAATTATGCTCTAATTTTTTAGTTACCGATCTGTCGTTACGGATTTTGATTGTATTATGTCTGTGTTTGATTAGTGTAAGATTGATAGAAGGGGAAGAAGATTAGAAGACTGAATAAGAGCGGAGGAAAAATCTACTTATAAGAGTAAAAGATAGAGCAGGCAGAAGTCCGCTACAAATAGGAGATGGAGAGACAGAGAACACTGAATGACCAGATGGCACTAATAAACACCATCAAATGATTAATTTTATTAATCTTAGGAAATAGAAGAGGGTCATTCCTAGATTTTACACTTGATTTTTGTTGTTTAAATATTAATAAAAATATAAAAATGGATGAAAGCATCACTGTCCCCATTTCCTATTTTAATTCTGATTATATGTATTTCTTTTTATCTACAAGCTGGAAATGTCCCCAGATTTGATTTCAGAAATCTGGTCACCCTAACTTTGAGGGATAAAACTACACAGAGAGTAAACTGTCTGTGATTGGCTACTTTTCAGGAAATCCTTCCCCATGAGACAATAGTGTTCTCTTCCTAGTTATGCTAGTAATGTTAGCAAAGTATCTTTAGGCTAATTTCTGTTCTCTTAAGGCGTTAAAGTGTTTTTAGGTGAAGTCATCATTAAAAAAAATTATTTGTAATGACAGTGTTTATGACAGCAGTAGCTGTTTGCTCTGAAATTATTGTTAAATTTGGAACTTGAGCTTCTTTTTCTATTGAGGGAAAAAGAGGCTTAAATAAATTCCTGTTTATAACTGAGCACAGACATTTACAAACAGTTTGCAGCATTTGTTCTTCTTTTCTAGCATCTTTTACATTTATATTTACTAACCTTATGTCTAACTAGACAATAACGGAGCAGCTTAAGAAAGTTAAAGCATTTTTAATTAATGGACAAATTTCAGTTCCAGAATCCGATCAGAGAGGGTAAATTCTGCTTTTTTAGTTAATAAGATATTGATGTAGGCTGTGCTGGTGCTCCATGTTTGATCTTGTTTTAAGCTTTCAGCTTGTCTCTACATGTATTGCTGAGAGTAAAGTATTTACTTTTAAACATTGTCTCTGCATCAACCAAAGCCTCTTTGTTGATCCTTAGAGAGCAGTTTGCTTTGCCCTGTTCAACTCTATTAAAAGTCTGATTTCCACCAAAGATTTCTTTCTCGATGCTTCACAACAAAAAACTTCCTCTTGAGTCCTGTTTCCAGCAAAGTTCTTCATCCTTAAACATTTCTTTGTCCCTCCAGATCACATCAGGCTCTGTGCGCCTGGTGCTTCAGGACAGCAAGACCTTGGTGAGTGAATGGAAGGAGCCACAGGGGAAGAACATCAGCGTAGCCGCCTGCAACCACACACAAGTAGTGCTTGCTGTGGGACGGGCTCTCTACTACCTGCAGATCCTAGCTGGAGAGCTCAAACAGATCAGGTATGACATGGGCATGACCAATGACATGTACTGATGTGTAAGAGTATTAATGCTCTTACAGCTTTTTCAGTTTTCATTTTTTGCTTACAGTCGAGTATATGAGATTATCAAACCAAAGGTAACCATAAGTAAAAGCAAAAAGCAGTTCTCAGATATTGATTTCATCTGTTCTTGGTGAATAAAATGTATCCAAACCATTGAGGCATTCAGTGTTCCTGCTTTTGTACTTTGGATCATTGTCCTGTTAAATCAACCTAAGTGCATTTCAGTTCTTTAGTAGGGATTTTATGCTAAAGGCAGATTTCATTGTTTCATTTATTTACAAGTCTTCAGCTTCTTGATCTTATTGTTTTTACGATTTTTGCTCAGACTTTTTCTTATATCATGAAAACGAGTCTTTACTGTGGTGATTGAGGCCCAGCAGGGCTTTAAATGTTCTTCTGGGTTTGTTTGTCGCTGTCCTTGATGAGTTGCTGATGCGCTGTTGGAGTAATTTTGGTTGGCTGACCACTTCTAGGAGGTTCCTCACTGTGCCATCTTCTCTCTGTTTGTGGTTAATGTTTCTCACTGCTGAAAGAAAAGTTCTCATCCTTTTCAGACACTGAATTCATTTCTCATATTTCCTTGATCAGGACATAATCTCATTTTTTTTAACCCTTTTGCACCCATTGTGTCATCAGACAAGTTATTTTGAAGAGGCGACCTTTGTGCCATAGCAGGCCTGCTGATAGCTTGTGAAATTATTCAACAAAGCCTCAAATACTTTTTAACACTGGTACAATCCTTCTTTTATTTCTTGGTACTTTGCAATATTCAAACTTGTTAAAATAAAACAAATTAACTTTAATAGAAAAGATGTTCCTTAAATTTCCATGGCCATACAAATCTGAGGATATACTTATCTAGCTCCCACATACCAGCCTAATCCCTTAACTCTTTAACAGTTGACTCCTTTTCTGTTACTCAGCCTGCACTTGAGTTTAAAGGGAATAGAAATGTCGCTGCTGGTCTCCTGAGGAATACCATCAAGCATGAGGACTGCATAGCGAATACTACTCAATTTTTTTCAACATTTTCTTTGAGTCTGTACAATTTGCATAAAACTGAAAAAAATGTGTGGATTATCCCACTGATGGAAGAAAACTGCAGTGAACTCCTCACACATAAATCATTTTAACCATGCATATATTCTTTATTAAAAAAGTAATACAACTACAAAAGTAGAAACACAGATTAGATTATAGAGGAAATGATCCTACAAAGTTCACATCAGATGTTATTTTTGGATACAGTCATTTATAAGTTCATAATAAAGATCTGGGTGTTTACACAATGCTGTTAAAAGTGTTTAAAGTTTGTGTTGGATGTATTTAGTAATAATATTGATCAGTAGTTTATTACAATATACATTTCTATTGATTTATTGCCTTGTCCCAATAAAAATATTAAAGCTTGCCCCCTAGAAGTCAATGTTTATGAAAGGGATGTTCTTTGAGCACATCAACACGAACTCTCCTTTTCTAAATTATCCTGCTGTACAGTATGGCCCAATCACATCATTACTTATGATCAAGGTATTATTATCTTCCTCTCTCTTTTAGTGTCTAGTATTTTTTTTTATTGCATTTCAAGCTTTAAGAAAAGATGTGTCACAGCATATTTTGAACCTAGAGCTTATTGAAATGTAGAGCTGGGCAATGGGGATTTATTTCACCTAGACATTCCGTAGGTTTCCATACTTGGACATAAACTAGCTTATTGTGAAAGGCCATAAGCTGCATGCATTTGGTTACACAGCCTGCCATCTACTTTTACAAGCATGTTCACAGGTTATATTTAGCTACTTTTTAATTTCTGGTCAACTCCCAGAAGGAAAGAAAGCACGTTTTAAAAGTCATTTCTGTCAGTTTTAATTGGCTTTCATGAAACTAAAGGGAGAAAATAACCAATGAATCGAATTTGTTTTGCAAAAAAAAAAAAAATCTATTTTATTTTCAAGCTACAGCGCTCAGCCCTATTTAAATGCATGAGGGCTCATTACCAGTTGATATTTCACACTAATCTTCTGGATTAGATCTGATTTCAAACGGTAAGACATAGTTAACATTAAAGGGGTCATAGAATGCAAAACAAAGTTTCCATTGTCATAGATGAATGATAGTTTAGTGGGGGAAATGGACTTACAGAGAAGTTCAAGCACCATCGACACCTCCTTTCTCTGCAAATCTCACAATTCTAAACTTCCACCATAAAACGGCGAATCCAAACAAAGCCCCGGGTTGACGTCATTTTGGGACCGTTGTCCAGGGTCGGGTTTGGTCGCTCTGTGCCCCGCTGGGGCCCTGTTTCATCTACGTGCTGCACTGTAGTCGACCAAAATCCCGGACTATTTTGAAATTCCTCCTGGACATTTCTTTTAGGTATGAAAAGTAGGACGACGTCTGGTCACCCTAACATATCAACAATTTGATGTTTCAGTGAGTGAGTGCTTGTTGCTATGATGCGCCTTTGCTCAGCAGCTTCGCTCTCTGTAAACCAACCAATCAGCGTACAGCTCATCTAAATATTCATGAGCATACCATAAAAGGAAGAAAACCTGTTGTTTCATTCTAGGGCTTTTAACCAGGCTCGCATTAGGGCTCATAGAACAGCAAATATGCCGTTTTAAGCCCAACCAATCTTACACACCCTATTCAGAGACATTAAGGACCAGCACCAAATACACTATGAATATTTAAATGAGCTGTGCGCTAATTGGTTGGTTTACAACGAGCAAAGCTGCTAAACACTAACACACTCAATGAAACATCAAACTGTTGGTATGGTAGGGTGACCAGGCGTCCTACTTTTCATACCTAAAAAAAAAAAAAAAAAAATGTCTGGGGAATTGGAAAATCGTTCAGTGTTTTGGTGGACTACAGTGCAGCATGCGCTCTAAGCATGCCAGCGGGGGACAGAGCGACCAAACCTCCAAGATTTTGAAAGCTGTCTTCTTCGGTAAAATGCTTACAGCAAATCAACAGCTGAGCAAACTTTGCAGGGATCTTCTGATACATAAAAATAATCCATGCCTGTCGAGTCTTTGGATCCTTGGGAAGACTGTGAAAATTGTCCCCTTTCTCCATGCAGCCTGGAACACTGCATTTACGCCCGTGGCCCTGGCTCATTTTCAATAGAGAAACTGCCTGCTTTGTAATTCTTGTAGAAGGAAACCCAACTGTAGGCTAAGCAGCTAAACTACGCTACTGTTATTTATCTATGACCAGGTAAACTTGGTTTTGGATTCTATGACCCTTTTAAAACTATTTAAACCAAGGCCAGGACTGCTGCTGGTACATCCAGGTAAAGAGAGGGCAAGCTGTCCTGTTGAACACCTTCACCTGTTCAACCAATAAAAGTGTTCCTGTTGGAAAAAAGGGAGCATATTGGTTTTACTTATTTAATGCTTTAATCCTGCTTTTTACCACAAATCTCTCCTAGACTTTGTGTTTTTAATGTGTCATCATCCAGTGTTTATTGTCTTCATCTTAACACAGTTTGAAAATGTGAGTGTTTATGCCTGAAGGCCTGGTATGAGGTCCTGAGGCATTCCTTGATGTTGTTTTTAACCGAGTGCAGCTTTAAGGGGTGTCTGAGCCGTTTGTTTTTTCAGTCCGTTATAAATCTTTACCTTCGTGCTTTCTTCAGTTTTCTTCTATAACAGAGAGTACAAAATGCTTTTTTTGCACTCTTGTAGAGGGAAGTGCAGCTTGTAAAAGGGCCAACAGGACTGCTTGAAGCACAATGTTTGCTTTCCTCTTTGAGTGTTTGTAAGTAGTGAAATGATAAAAGAGACTCATCAGGGCTATGAAATAGTGTTTGGGCTGGATCAATAACCAGCTGCTTAGCTGTGGGGGACAAAATTGTTTCAATGTTACAGGCCTGGTTTGCTTAATCACACGTTGAAGACTGAAACCTTTCTGTCAGAAGCTATTTGAATCCGAGGACTCTGAGCAGATTGAGAATATTTCTATTATTTGCTCAATTTAAAGTGAGATGCAGCTCTGTTGATGTTGTATTATTGCGATCTCCCTAGCTCAGTAAGATAACATTCTGCCATGGTTATTTATTACTAATTCAAATAAACTCCTACTTTAAACAAAGCATAGCAAATTATAATATGAAGTATATTACTAGCAGTATTATTTTAGAAAAAACAGTTTTTGTTGCTTCATTGCATAAGCCGCAGAAGGAGGCAATTTGAGCACAGTTTAGTTGTCCTCCAATGAATTTTTAATCTGACCTCAGTGTGAGACTTAACAGCTGAATGTTTTAGTATTTAACATAATGCAGCTTATATGACATGAAAAATGTATAATTATTTATGCTTGGTGTCATTGACACTGCTCTTTCCAACTGTTTTAGTCTTCTCTGTGCTATGCACACACCACCACAGAACATGCATGGAAGCCAACTTATTTTTCTTATCTCCTCCTCCTCAGTACCACAGAGATGGAGCATGAGGTGGCTTGCCTGGACATCACACCTCTGGGGGAGGGTGGCAACGAGTCCACGCTCTGCGCTGTGGGACTGTGGACCGACATCTCTGCACGTGTGCTCAAACTGCCCTGTTTCACAGCTCTGCACAAGGAGATGCTGGGAGGAGGTGAGAGTGTTCTGGGTAAAGGGGAAATATGTCTGACATGAGCAGGTGGAGAATCGTTTTTAATAAGCTGCAGCACAGCAGAACATATTTCCACTGATGCTTTTTATAGAAAATTTGAACGAAAATAAAGGAATATATTTGTTTACTTATGTATATGATTTATATCATAGTTAAACATATATTTTACATATATATATATAATATAAAATAACTTTTTTTTCCCCACTGTATCACATCAATACACCCAATATTTACTATTTTAGGTCACTTAAGATGAACAGAAATGTAAAAGAGGGATTTATGTTTTATTTTATTTCATAGCAGAATTTTACATACATAGATTATTATATTATAAATGGTTTGCTATACCCCAGATCTGCCGCTGCAAGTTTAAGATGCTTTATATTTTGGCATAACAATTAAAAAATAATCCATCCCTTCTTTCACATCCTGGACAAATCAATAAAAATAAGAGAGCGTTGTTACCTGCAGTTTGGCTCAAATAGGTCTTTGAAATAGATGATGATCTATGCAGACAACCAGTATAGCTTAGTGTGGCTTACAACAGCAGGGTGCATGTGTTGCAGTGACCCTCTCCAAGTCTTCATCTCAGCCTCATAAAACATTTGTGTGCAGAGCTTAAAAAATTTGTGTGAACAAAACAGCCAGAACCTAATTCAGTGAAGTGACAAGGATATGTTCCAGTAAACTTTTTTGAGAAGCAGTAGAACAATGGGTCATACAGCTTTCGGTCTGTCCAGGTCTCTCTCCATATCTGCCCAAACAAACCCTAAAGCCGGGCATACACTATATGATTTTTTTTTTTCAATCATTGCACGCAGCTACAGCTCACACTGTACGAAAAAACTGCAGGGTTTCGTCGCACAGTGTGAGTTCACAGTTTACGATGTTTATTCTCTGTGGCCTGACGCTGTGATGTGATCTATCTGCTCACACTGCACATCTAAAACCACGTCCGACTCAGCTCCGCAGTGAGATGGCACTACTCAGTATTGTCTATCCGGAAGCCAAACGAGCAGAAGAGGAATATCAAGCTCACTAGAGTGAAACATGCTGCCTTGGCAATTTGTGCAATTTCGTGTCCTGAAAGCCCTAAAAAGAAAAAGCGGCAACGTATTTGGACAAAGACATGGCTGAGCAAACGTGGCTACTACGGTCTGTCAATTTTACGGAAAGAACTCCATGTCACTCGTACTGTTTTTGTCTGAGAGGAAGAAGAAGAAGAAGAGTCCTTGCACATGCCCACTGATCGATTTGCCCACGACCACCTTATTACGGCCGACTTAATTTCAAACTTGTTCGATTTTTCTCCTGACCTTACGATTCCTGATCAGGAGGTAGTTGTGAGAGGCTGATCGCCCCTCATTACCCCTGTACACTACAGGACGCCCGATCAGGTTGAAAGTCGGCCCAAAAAATCGTACAGTGTAAGCCCGGCTTAACACACTCATAAAGTTAAGGCTGGTTGTTCTGCTCTCAAATTGATATTTCATACTATCCCTTTTCATTTGGACAGTAAATCTACACTAAACTGTTAACTGATGCACTTTTTTTTTATTTCTGTTCTTAATTTTACTTGGTTTTATTTTTGAGCATTAATGCCTTTCAAATCTCTGCCTGACATATTTGGACTCCAGCTAAAATGTAGAGTGACCCTCAGTATCATAGTCAGTATTGTTTTTACTGTGACATTTTTACTCTTTATCTATGTATTCCCTATCTATACATTATTATTAACAGAAATGGAAAACTTCTATCATAAATGTAATAATATTGCACATGTTCTTCAAAATCAAAATATTCTAGAATAATTAAGACTCAAAACCAGTGAAGATTAAGATATTTTTAACATTGAAAATTACTTTGGAAATAATGAATTAGAATGATTGAGTAGTGATGAACTTTCACAACCTTTTAGTGATGATTTCAGATCAGGGAATAATAAAACTGAGAGGGATATAGCTTGAATAATTATTTCTCTATTAAACTTTCAAAAAAATTGTGCAATGTGGTAGGAAATTCCTTTAGCGATGTGTTTCTTTATCTGACCCCTTCAGTAGCTATCCTCTGCTAGCCAAGCAACTGAGTGTTTTGGAGCCTCTCTATGGTGGCTGGCATTGTCAGCAGCTATAAGTGAAACCTCCTGGTTGATTGAAGCTGGACTGTTTCAGGTCGTGAATCCAATGGGTGCGTTTGGATTTAAGCCAATCAGCACTTTCATAGCTCCACTTGTGTCAAAAAGTTTTAGATGGTGACGACCAGTGTCTCATAAAAGTTGTATCTTTATTTGCATGTCTAAAAATCATCATCATATCAAATCAAACATTAGAAAAGTAATTGAGCATGCACTATTACTCTGCTGAAATTAATGAAGTGATACTTTTTAAGGGTTTATGATTGTCTTAATCGAACTAAAATCATTTCTATCTGAAAAGGCTGGAAAACAAATTTTATTCTTTTTTTTTTTTTTTTCAATTGTAAAGGGGTCCTACCATGTGTTATTATTAACGTTTTGCTTGTTTTTGTACTTCCATCTGGGTCTCTACTGTTTTTAGAAACAGTCCAAGTACAAAAAACCATCCAGTTGCTTTTTGGTAATAATTAACTATTTTGTTGTCTACAAAGCATTTCAAAAACCTCTTGATTATGACATCAAAGACTGCAGGTACTGCCCTTCACCAAACAACCCAAGCAGACCCCAGGCCTTCAGTATTTTTCATTACTTTGTAACTGAAGCTAAGACAAATATAACATAAAACGTAAAAACATATTCGTTCTATATCAAATCTTACATAAAATTTTTATTGTAACAGCAAACCCAAAAAACACATGCATTTATGCGTCCCAAAAAATGTGCATATGATTTCTTTGGACTGGAACGCAACTACATGGATGCAGACAGCTAGCAGTTAGCATAATGCTAATTTGCTTTGTAAACTCCATTGGTGTGCTAATGATATTTGGGTCGGATTTTTTTTCTTTCTCAGATTCTTTCAAACTGAAACAACCAAAACGCCCTCTAGAAGTATTTGAACCACATCAACTCTTTATAATAAAGTAACACTTGCAGACAAAGGTTTCTAGGAAGGTGAGAACATATTTGGGGACAGTTTGGTACTGCAGAAATGTGCCTTTAAAGTTGGTTCTGTAACTCTCTAAGGTGGCCCTCAAAGATTAGGACATACTTAGCATTCAGAAACGGCTCCATCTTTGCTGGTTGGAGCAGCTGGACCCTCATTCAGCTGCTGGGTCTTACTCACGGTCAAAGATGTGCACTTGTACCATTGTGCATCTGTTATGCAGCCTTTTTCACACATAAAAATTGAGTATAAGCATTGAGGTCATGGTCACAGCCAGGCAAAACACATTTGCATAAAGATGACAAAGTCCACAAAAACAGCTCAGTCTGAAAGGAGCTGAAAATGAAATGATGATGAAATCTTATTATCTTAGGGTTTATTGTGCTCAAATGGGATGGACATAGTTTGTACACGCCATAGACCTATCTTGAATGTTTACAAGGAAAAATGATTTATTCCCTTTAAGGAAACTGCAAAATGAGAAGGTGGTGTTGAATCCTTTTTAAAAACAAATCATCAAATGACTGCAGTTCATTTACATTCTTGATCTTTTTAGCAGCATCCAGGTTTTCCAAATCCAACCACAGATTTCCATAGGTGTTCATCTAAGGGGATTATTTCCACTCTGCTTGTTTTCTAGAAGTTATGTTTACCGGAACAAAGCCTTTATACTTTGTATTATATGCTTTGGGAGGATGTCCTGTTTGTCCAATGTCGTCCATGCATCAGCTGTTTCACCGAAAACATGATGCCTCCTCCTAGAGCTTCTTTCAGTGCTAGTGAAGCCAAACGGCCCCAAAACATCATCAAGCCACTTCTGTGCTTCACTAAAGGCATATGCTTTCTTATTCCTCCTTCAGACACACATTTGATCCAAAAGCCCAGTAATTTCCAGTTTTCATTGATCCACTAAAGAGGACCTTTAAATCTCTTTAACTACCGTATTTTCACGACCATAAGGCGCACCGTACTAAAAGGCGTAGTCTCAGTTGTGTGTGCCATTACTGTATTTAACACACACATAAGGCGCACCGGATTATAGGGCGCGGGTTTTATATACCGGTACTTATCCTATACTACGTTTAAATACCCTACTGCGTATTTAAAAAATAGAGCGGGAGCAAAACTGAGTATGATTGTACTTTATTCATGTATTTATTACAAAGTATTAATCAAATCCATTGAAGTCATCATCCTCTGTTTCTGAATTAAACGGCTGCGCTAAATCAGACATGCCAATTTCCCCTTCTTCGCTGTCAGAGTCACTTTCCGTGCCTTGCAGCTCCTCAGAAATGATGCCGGCTTTTGCGAAAGCTTGAACAACAGAGCCAGCAGACACGTTAGTCCATCTACAATCCATCCGCAAACGGTGGTGTAATTTGCACGGCGCTGCCTTCCACTTTTCGTGAAACTGTGGTCTCCGTTGGTCATCCATCGCTCCCATGCCGCTCGCAGCCTTACTTTGAACGGCCGGTTCACACCGATGTCGAGCGGTTGAAGTTCCTTTGTCAGACCCCCCGGAATAACAGCAAGCACAGCATTCATTTGTTTCACCTTGTTCTTCACATCGGCTACACAATCCACGGCCACACTTCCCCCTTTAACGTTCTCATGGTGGTCTCAACAACGTCTGCAGTAACAACACACATAGGGTGCACTGCACTATAGGGCGCTACACACATTTTGAGGGAAAAAAAGACGTTTATATGCGCCTTATAGTCGCGAAAATACGGTAGCTATATTATTGTCTAATTGGAGCAGATCTGCTTTTGGGTCAGTAGTTTGATCCCTCGGTTCAACATGTGGCCCTTCTTTGTTAAGAATTCCCCATACTGGGGAAACTGAAACCTCAGTGTCTGCTGCCACCAAGTCTAACTGAAGGAAACCTGGAAACAGTCTGAACTTTTTCACCACCTGCCTCCTCTGGAGGCAGACGTAGCTTTTGGCTCAGCCTTTACTGCAGCTAACTGTATGTGCTCTCTTTCATCTTCTAGGCTTGAATAATGGCTGAGCTCATCTGCTTAGCTAAGCTTCTCACCTAAATTAAGCCACTTCTGGAGATAATATTGTAGCTTATCTTTTTCTTTTCTCTCACATAAAAATAACCCCTGGATCAGTGCCTTTCTGTTCCTTTTGTGTGTTTATGCTCTTTCTGCTCAAAGCCCCCGTCAGTCATGGCATAATCCCATTCACACAGTCTAGTTCTGCTAGAAGTACTTATTTTTCGTCCTGAGAAGTTTTCCTCTCCACTGTCGCTACATGCATAGTATGTATAAGGCATTCCTGCAAAGTCGACGACACAATGCAAGCAATTGTCCTCTGTTGCTGCAGGCTCTTCCAGAATTCTTCAAATCAATGACTAGATGAGATCTGTTGGGTCTCCTTAGATTGCTTAACTAATCTGTTGGTAAGATGTGATGAAAATGGCTCTGTAAAGTCGCTTGGGGTGACATGGGTTGTAGATTTTCTATATATTACCTAGATGAGCTGTACTGATACAGGGTTTCCGCGGATCATTAAAAGTCATTAAATTTTTATTTTTTAAATTTACGGCCTTAATTGGCATTAAAATTCATTAAATGTGTTTATTGTGGCATTTAAAATGCTTTATTTAAAAAAACAAATTTAAAAACAATTTCGTCAGACATATTATGTCACAATATATTTGCGTGGAACTGCATCCGGTTGATCGCAAAGCTGTATGGAGAAAAAAAAAGCAAATTTCAACAAAAGTGGTTTGGGAAAACGAGGAATTCGGGACATGGCTGCAGCCTGTCGACGGGTACCTGTTGGTGGCATTAAAATTATTTCTAAGAGCATTAAAAGAGCATTAAAAAGAATTAAATTTGAGTTATTAATTCATGTATAAACCCTGTGATATGATTCGAAACATCCCTGTCTCCCGTTCAGGTGTTTGCTTCCTGTTCCACACCTAAACTTTTATTTCTTGTTTTTCAGATTTGCATCACCAGATACATCTTCTTAAATTTTGTTGCAGTCGCTTTGGAGAAGTGTGGAAACAAAACAGTAGCAGCATTTTTTTTTTTTATGAAAAATGAGCAGAGTGCCACAAAACCATACCACTAGCCATAAAAAAAAAGTGAAAGTGCTTAAATTATGCGATTTCACACCCCACTCCTCGGTAGCTGATGCTCTTCAACTTTTTAGAAGTGGTTCTGCTTCGGCATATCTGAATCAAATCATAAAGCCATTAGAACCACTCCATGAAACCTGATTCCAAGCTGAAGAGCCAATTCAGACACTTGAGTTCTTTTATACCAGGGACATATTTAAAACACTTGTTCTGGGGTTTCAGATCTCTCCCTCCTTTTAGTGGTCGCAGCCAGTGTGCCTGAGATCACACCTGATCAGTTCGTACTCCTATGAACAGTTCTGTTCATAATGTTTTGGGATTGCAGTCATTATTAAAAGTCACATTTAGTGTTTTACTTAGATTAACATCATTGTTATATTTCAACTGCTTGTTTAATATTTCTATTTCAAAAATCTAAATAATTAAGAAATATCCCAATAAACTAACTTTGCTTTGGGGTTTGATGATTTTGGTTGCAGCTCTATATGCTCAAGCTGTTGTTTCAGCCTCGGGGTGGAGACTGTTTGCTTGTAAGGAGGATTCATTTACTTTTAGGAAGAGAGCAGCATCCTGTGGGGGAACATTTTATTTAGACTGTTTATTTTCTTGGAGAAAAAAAAAATGAAGCCAAGAGGCGAAGTGTACCTTTCCTCTGCAGCTCCGTCATCAAAACTATTGTTTTGTGTTGTTGCATTTTGGATATTGATAAAAGTAGAAGACTTGAACATTGTCTGGAAATTCATATTTGCTTAGTTTACAACTTGAACGAGATATTTTAAAAAGTTATAATAAAATTACTGGAGCTGGATGTAATTGGTGTGTTGGCAGCTGAAAGGACTCGGTTTGGATTCTGCCTCAATCACTGCTGCAAGTTTCCCATCTGCGTTCGACTAACTGATGTTTAAACCTTTAGAAATAGACTGGAGTTCTGTTTGTTTTTTCTTTGTCTAATAAAATGGAGCTTTTGGGTGTTGAAAATTTGGGCTGAAATAAAAAGACTGTGGCACTTGCAAAGGTTTACTGAAAGTTGAGAGCTTTTATAAAATGATTGATAGTCCTTTATCCTCTAATGTAGCAAATGTTGTTTTTGTTTTATTCTTTTTCTTTTTCCTCATATTTCAACGGAATTTAAGTGGGGTAAAGTTTGCAAAGATAAAGAATAAAAATCAAACCAACTAGCCAGTTGGAAAACAAAATAAATCAAACAAGTGAGGACTTTTTCTGTTACAAATAATCAGGAAGAAACTCTCAGATTGTTCTAACAAAGACGATGTTGCAGTCATTTTTCACTGTTGATGATGTAACTAGTCACTGCAAAAGAAAACTAAATTAGCTGCATGTTTATGTCCTCAGAGATCATCCCCCGCTCCATCCTAATGACCACCTTTGAAGGCAGCTACTACCTGCTGTGTGCCCTGGGAGATGGAGCACTCTTCTACTTTGGTCTCGACCTAGAGACTGGTAGGTTCCCACTCACCACCAACGCTACGGCCATTAGATCGGAGCTTCTCATCTCATTTGCTTTTAGGGATATTCTTTCAGCCAGAACTGCATGACTTCCTGTCAAACTTTTATCTTTAGAAAACTCCTTTAAAGACTAGAACTCCACTAAAGTTCTTATACAGTTATAAAAACTAACAAAGAGCTGTGAGCTAGTAAAGTGATAATCAAACAGTAAGACAAATATTAAACAAGGCAGGTACAATAACAAAGCATTAAGCCTGGAATATTTTCTGTGTGAAAGCATGATGTCAGTGATAGTTTTAAATAATTAATCAACTGAAAGCAGCAGGGAAAATAGAAACTGCTTGACAATTCAATTCAGTTTATTTATATAGCACCAATTCACAACACGTAATCTCAGTACTTAAATATTCACTAGATCATACAGTCAAATTGATTTAAAGTTTTCTATCTAAGGAAAACTAGTTGATTTCATTGACTTATTAATAAGACAACAGGACTGTATGTTTCTTGAATAATTAATAAGAGTCAGCAGTTTTAACATCCAACGCTGTGACCTTAGGCTCAGTTTTCATAAGATATCCCATCTTACTGAGGTTAAGCCACAACCCAGTGGCTTGTTAAGCTGTAGCTGCAGTTTGCATCTTAATTTTACATAAAGTTACTTACATTTTCTTTTATTTCATCCTGTTTACTAAATAGTTTTTATATATTTTTCAAATTTTCACCTGGAATCTTTAAAGCACCTCTAAGTAAATGTGCTCCCCAGCAGGACACCGTGTGCTCCACCAGTTTTGTAGTAATGGCTCTCAGAAGCCGGATTGTTCCAGTCGATGCCTGTAAATCGGCATCATCCTGTCAAAATACCTTTTTGACGGCATATAATAGGAAAATTCTAGACAAAAAGACATTTTACAGCAAATTTAACTGGCTGTACATCTGCTTGTAATAGATTAAATATACCAGAATGGCTGCTTTTTCTAATTAGAAAACCCATTATGACCTTTTTGGGGCAATCCAGACTAATTGTGTGTTCTTGTTTCATTATTTGCACAATAAACGGTACATAGGTTACATCAAACTGTATTTACGCCTAAGGACATTAACAAGTGATTAGATTTCAAAAAGCAGTCGGGTGTTAAAATTTAGTCCATTAAAGATGCATCTTATTGTCATTACAGATTAGAACACAATTTCCTCAGTGCACAAGATGACATTGTATTGTCATATCATCGATCTGAAATACCATTGTGCCACATGACTGGATAGAACTGCTGCAACTTTAGAAGGGTTGTCAACAATCAATGAAATATCAGGGCTGCAGCTGTATTTACTTCCAGACAAATGATAAACAGTTTTCTTTTTGCTTGTTTGCAGACAGTGCAGGAAACTTCTGCACACACCTCACCCAGTGCTGGGATGATGCTGCAAGAAAGTACACAGGGATTTAGGAATAATCAGATTACTCCCATGTAAACTTCTTGCTCTGAATTGAATAAAACCAAGGCAGGACTTCTAACTGCAGTATGAGTGTGCATATAAATGCACTCATTAACTTTGGTTTGCTCAGATCACAAGATCAGACGTGGAAAATATTTCAGTCAGAGAGCAGAGAAGACCAGAACATTAGGAGACAGGCAGGCCCTGTGTAGAGTGCTATATAGCGTTTATTACACGCAAATTATGTAAAAGAAAAATCTAAGAAAACAGGAAAGCCAGGTGCTTCTAAACAAAGATCAGGGCTCACTGAGCATACAAGGACAAATATTAGTGCAAATTGTTCCTCCGACTTTAACAACAACTGGTACATCCACCTTTAGACCCAGAGTTAAATAAAAGCCTTAACCTCGTTTCTTTTCCCCAGGCGCCCTCAGTGAGAGAAAGAAGGTCACCCTTGGCACACAGCCCACCGTGCTGCGGACCTTCAGATCACTTTCCACCTCCAATGTCTTCGCCTGCTCCGACCGGCCCACTGTTATCTACTCGTCCAATCACAAGCTGGTGTTTTCCAACGTCAATCTCAAGGAAGTCAACTACATGTGCCCGCTCAACTCTGAGGGCTACCCAGATAGGTGAGCAGTGAAATGTTTCTGATAGAACATTTCTATCTTAGTGATCTGTTGGTCACTCTGAACAGGGCTTCCTCTGAGCTCAGGTAGCTCTCTACACCTTTTCCACAGACTGCAGTAATGTTATCAGCTCAGCTGTTTAGGTCTGTAGGATAGAAAGGTTTTTTTTGTTTATGTAATGTTTTTTTTGTTGCATTTTTTTTCTTGTTTCTGGTAGCTTGGCATTGGCCAACAACAGCACACTGACCATCGGTACCATTGATGAAATTCAGAAACTCCATATTCGCACAGTTCCGCTTTATGAGACTCCAAGGTCAGTGACACTAAAAAAGATAAAGGTTTTAAGTGTTTATATTTGCATTAGCTGTATTTCTTTTCAGCTCTGTTAATGGATAAATATCTCAACTCTTATATATATTGTTATTTACCTTATGTATTTATTTGTTTATTTAGTGCAGTTGTTTTCTCTCTTCTTTTCCCTGTTAGGCGGATCTGTTACCAGGAGGTTTCGCAGTGTTTCGGGGTTCTGTCCAGCCGGGTGGAGATACAGGATGCGAGCGGCGCTACGTCTGCCGTACGGCCCAGTGCTAGCACACAGGTACTGCCTGCCCACTGCATAAGCAGCCCTGCTGACTGAGAACTGGAGCTTCATACACTGAGGCATGAGATGTACTTTGCAGACTGGCTCTCCTAGCGTTTCATTTATTTATCTGTTTTCTTTTAGATGAGTGGTGCCTATGTTTACTAATGAAAATTAATTCAGTGTCAACTCATCTTCAGTTCACCTATAAAAACTCATTAGCTGATAAATGTCACGTTAAGGCTCGTTATAATAACTATTCATTTCACCATTTGCTCCAAATCAGATCAATCTTATTCACTTAAATCCAACCCAATAATTTCATTAGATTTGAATTCACTTCCAAACTGAGCATTTCCTATTGATACCAATATAATTCCATCAAATTCCACTGAACATAGTTGGTTATGTTTATATAAATGATGTTATGTGGTATGAATGATCTAAGGCAGCCCAGGTGAGTGAATGGAGCTATTGACTTTGTGTAAACATCATATGGGACAGAGAAGAGACACAACGTCCTTTAATAGGATTAAACCTACGGGGGGGAATAATATAGAAAGTAGAGATAATGCTACAGTCAGTGACTCTATGAAAGATTAAAAAAATGAGTTATTTGGCCTGGAATAATTTGCTGCAGTCGTTGTGTGAATGGTTCCCCCTAGATTAGAGGCACAGTGACACAAGGTAGAACGAATGGGCTACCTGGTACTGAAGGAAAGAAAATAAAGAGTACAAATTGGTAATCGATGGCTCCAATCAAAAACAAAATAAAAAATCAGGAGCTGCCATTTCTGATGAAACAGTTTTCCATGGTAGCTAATAGTAACTGAAGCATTATCAATTGTTTATAGTTGGAAAAGATACTCCTTAGAGTGTCCATCTTTAAATTAAAGAGCCTTAAATCAGTTTTGTTGGTCCTGAATTGCAGCGATGTCAGGATATTGCTTTGTAAACACTCCATAATGAAGGTCATTTCATATTTTTATTAGGCAGGAGCCTCACTAGCAGCCAAAGAACCTTTAAACATGACATTTAACATCATCAGATTCTGTCAAATTGTGTTTGACTAGTTTGTCTCAGACAGACAACGATCCTCAATTAAATGAAGATGAAGTTCACAGTCTAGTTTGAGAATGATCTATTCAAATAAATATTCAGGTTTTTTGTGCATGGGAAAGGTAGTTTTCATGGCTCATTTTATTTCAGTGCTTTATTCCCCTCAATCAGGCATAACTCTTCTATATAGAACAGACTTGGTTTTGTCTGGTAATTACATTTAGAAATATCTTAATTTTGTTTAGTCGATAAATCTAGCATCTAAATTAAATAGATCTACTTAGGAAGTTATTTAAGTTACCAGTTAGTCTTTCTAAAGCCTCCATATGTGAGAAGCAAGCGATCTTTAATTGGTTTTGTACCATCAGTACCTCAAAGACCTTTTTAGTGTTGAATGAAGAATGTTAGGAACAGTTGAAGCAATCTTAGCTAACATTTTCCTCTCATTAAGCTAATTTTAATTCCAAAATATTTTCATTTAATGAATTAGTTGCCAGCATTTCAAAGTGTCGGGTCAGTTGGAGAGTTAATCAGAGGCTCCTGTCAGCCATGTTTACATTACCTGCCTGTATTTCCTGTTCTGCTCAGCTCTATGGATTCTCCAAAGGGGACAGGTGTGTACTTTCATTTGTTTGTGTTTACCGTCGCAGAGCCTCTCGCATATCATGACCAGGATGATGTTTACCCGATTTTAAATGCGGCACATCTGCTGCAGCAGATGGTGCCGACTGGGTTGTCGGTGCTTCCCACGCAGACACATTGTGTATTGTGTTTCTGTTTCTTTGCCACATAATGCATCTGTCTTTGTCCTCACTTCTCTCTGCGTCCTGTCTCCGTTTCCAGGCGCTCTCCAGCAGCGTGAGCTCCAGCAAGCTCTTCCCCAGCAGCACTTCTCCACATGAGACCTCCTTTGGTGAGGAGGTGGAGGTTCACAGTCTTCTGGTTGTGGATCAGCATACCTTTGAAGGTGAGACAGCTGAGGCTGCCTTTCCGCTTGAGCTCAAAGAGCTGCTGTATCATGTAAATCTTCTGACAGTAAAATGTGTTCAGCTTAGAGGAAAAGTTGATCTCATAAGGACTGTAAAGTTTTAATCACCTAATTGTGCTCGGCGTGATACTTTGGATTATTCAGTTGAGCTTTGTTGTGTTTTGTTTCAGTGATGCTTTATTGAATCAGCCTTTATTTAAAAGATATACTTGTATATGTATGCATGTGTGTGTGTATATACACACATGCTTTATAGCTGAAAAGGTGTCTTCACCCCCTCCTGATTTGTTTTGTTGTATGTTTGTTACACTTAATGTGTTATGGTGAATCAAACAAATTAAATACGAGTCAAAGACACACACAGGTTTTAAATGGTGATATAAAAGAAGAAAAAAAAATGCCAATCCACATGGCCCAGTGTGAAAAAGTGATTTCTCCTTAAATCTAAAAAAACAGTTTGAGTCTTAGAAGCAACGACTGCAATCAAGCATTCATAATAATTTGCAGTGAGTGTTTTTCCAGAGCTGTAGAGGAATTTAGTCCCACTCATCTTTGCAGATTTGTTGTAATTCAGCCGAAATGAGTACAAGCCTCCCCTTGAAGTTCTCACAGTAGGGTTCAGGTCAGGGCTTTACTGGGTCCTTCACTTCAGCTGTTAATAGTTGGACTACCTGGTGAGGTTTGGATCATTGTTTTGCTGCAGAACCTCCATTTTATTTTCACTTTGAGGTCACGGGCAGATGTCTGGACGTTCTCCTTCTCATTATGGTAAACAGTGGCACTCATGGTTCCATTTATCAGCACAAGTCCTGAAAGGCAGATGAAACAGCCCCACATCATTACACTACCTCCACCATACTTTACTGTTGGTAAATGATCTTTTTCTGAAGTGCTGTGTTACTTTTAACCAGATGTAATGGGATATACATCAAGGGGGGGGCGCCAGGAATTTGGGGCCCCTTGACAGACATTGGTATTGCAGAGTAACAGAGTTAATTTGCCAAAGGTCTCAAGATGTGTTCTAGGAAAATGTAGATGAGCATTAATGCTGCGTTAGTTTCAGAACTCTGCCATTTGTGTCCAGTTCTTTAGATATTTTTCTGAGGTCTTTTGTGATCTCTTGGATTAGTGTTATCTTTCTCATTAATTCCAGAGGTTATTGCAGGACAGCTACTCTTTGGGTGTCCTTCACTCTCCCCCGCAGGTCCTATTTAAAGGATTTCTTTATTTAGAAAAGGTTCAGCTGTAGTCAGGTCCGGCTGTGGCTAGAGAACGTGACCTTAGTCCCGATAATAAAAACATTAATTTGAAGAACTGCAGTTGGTTTTTACTTGTGTTGTCTTTGACTGATTTTTATATATGTCCAATGCTCAGAAATGTTTGGGTTTGACAAACATGCAAATAAATAAGAAACCAGGAAGGAGGCAGACACTTTGTTATACCCTTTATATCTGTTTTTGGTCTCCAAATGAGTGACTGAACAGGAAGCCTTTCTAGAAAGGCTTTCTGCTCTGTTCTGTTTTGCATTGCTGATTTTTATTTGCACTAAGACTTTCTTTTTAAAGCCTGGTGGCTTCAAAACCCGCCTTGAATTACTGCATGTTGCCTATTAACAATAGGATAGTAAGCGACTCTAAGAGCAGCCTGACTATACTGTTGGTATCAAACCTATTTCAGATGCAGAGGGTTTATGCTTTAATATGTGTGCTGCCATATTCATCAGTTACCTCGGAGTATTAACTGCCTATCTTACTGAGAAAATAGCTTTGAACCCATTTAAAGGCATGCATGGTGCAGACAAGTGAAGGAAGATTGATAGATGAGATCTCAGAGACAGTATTGATAAACGAAGATGCATTTGTCTTTGCATAATAAGTAAGTCAATGCTCCAACATCAAATCCTGTCAGACAGAAAATTTGAGCGTTATTCCTTCTGGGATGTTCAATATAGATGCATAATTTAGTTAAATAAATAGCTCTGAAGCAGCCTCTCCTTTCCTGCAGTCTGGCAGATCCACTGACCACATAAAGAGGACAGTCTGACCAGACACTTGTAAGAAGAGAAAATTACTAGTGCATTACTTTTGTTTTTATGCCATTTTCATGAGACATCGACAGTTTTACAGTCATGAACCAGACACAGAAATTAGATTTGATTTTTAGTTTGTAGTTTGATTTTTATTTAGGTGCATTGTTTCCTTTTTTCTTACTCATTGATCAAATCATTTTTACACTCTTAATCAAAATCTGCACTTTGGCACTTAATTTCCAAGATGGGGGCTAATAGAGTTTATAGACTGGCACAATATGTCTAGAACATCTCATTGGCTCACTTATCGGTGCCTTTTATAAGTTTGAACCCCTTTTAGAAATAGAGTTTATAAATAAAGTTGGGTTGGATCTGATCCCTCTTTTTGTTGTGTGTTTCTTCCAGTCCTTCATGCCCACCAGTTCCTCCCCTGCGAGTATTCCCTCAGCATCGTGTCATGTCGTCTGGGAAAAGACCCGTCTATGTACTTCATCGTCGGCACGGCCATGGTTTACCCAGAGGAGCCCGAGCCCAAGCAGGGACGGATTGTCGTCTTCCATTACACTGACGGTCAGCAGCCCAGCTTTCAGTAGCTTTTCTCCTTTTTTTACCAAACTGTCCGACTGCGCTGTTTGATTCTTTCCAACTTTCCTTGTTTGTCCCTTCACCCAGATCGCTCAGCTTCTTTTTATTCATCCTTTACCCATTTCATTTTCTCCTCCCTACGCCCTATATCGTATTTTAGGCGAGAACACCATGTCCTACTGTGCTCTTGTTTCCCTTCTCACTCAATCATTTTCTTATCATGTCCTTTCCAACCCCCCTCCCTCAGCACTGTTTTTTTTTTTTTTTTCCCCCATTTACACGCTGTTCCTTACAAAATACGTTGCTTGTATTTCATTTAATCTTCTCCGGCGCTTGATTTTTACCCTCGCCTTATATTCTGAATGCAGCACTGCCTCCATATCAAATTTTCCTCACATCTCTTTCCCACTTGTTCTCAGTTGGAGATGTTGGTTCTAATTTAACTCGGCATCGCATGTGTGGCACTTTAAATGCTCACTGAACACTGACTGATCTTTCCTGCAGGGAAGCTGCAAACCGTGGCTGAGAAAGAGGTGAAAGGAGCCGTTTATTCTATGGTGGAGTTCAATGGAAAACTACTGGCCAGCATAAATAGTACAGTAAGTGGTGGGACAGAAATGGGGTGGAAAAGCCTTTCTTCTCTAAATTGTTACAGAAATGTTGAAATTCTGAAGCGTGCCAAAACCTCTTTGTTCAAAGTTCAGAATCTAAAAGGTTTGTTTTACATCCTGTTAGTCCAACAAAGAAAATACTGAAAACGGGGAAACAAATGCTCTGCCCCCCGCTGCCCTGTAATACCACGCTCATCCACAGCCGGCTATAGATGGATTAAAGGGATTAAAAACTTGAAAGGGAGCATTATCTTCAGATATCAAAGATATATTTGTCATGGATTTCAGATTTCTGGAGCTCATCAAGTCACTTACTTTCAGATGCTCTACTTTCTATCTCTAGGTTTTATGACAAAGACGACTTTACTCTCACTAAGCTTGTTTGGTTAGACAGACATTAATGTAAACAAAAGCTTTTATTTTATTCCTCACAGTTTTGCATTTCCAAGGTCAGCATAGCTGAATATAATCCTTTGTGCTTGTTGAATCTGTACCATCATGGTTGACGAATTTTAGAAAAATGCACAGGTACTCTTTCTATCATATGTATCCTTGTTTTTTTTTTTTTTTTCTTTTTTTGTTGTTGTAATATTTAAATGAGATTCAAGAAATAAATGTTTACATTTTGTTTTTTGGGGATATTAGAAAAACAAAGAATACTATTTTGGAGTAGAAAGGTCTAAATCAGCTTGTTATGTTAAAGCTGCCCAACGAGTTGGTGAGAAGATGCAAAGTGAAGGGCTGCAGAATCAGTGCATCTCTGTAACCATGCTGCTGGAGCTGGCTAATTACCTTCACCCTGCTACTGGCTTACTCAGCTGCTTTATTTGAATTTCTGGGGGCAGAGGCTTGTCGCTGCAGAGCCATCATTCTGTATGTAGACATATTGTTCCAGATCCCACAGGCATACATGTGCTCATGCAGCTATGGTTTTCACACCTACAGTATTGCAAAGGCTTTTGTGTGCAGTTTGGTGGGGTTTATTCATGGGGTTTGGAGCCTAAAGTTTTAGCTCCAAGTAGGTAATGAGAGTCTGTTTATTTATGTAGTGGAACTTATGACACCATGAGGCCAGCAGGTCAAAAACTGTTGCTTCAGACACACCTCAGTCTCTCTGTTGCTTTTATATGTTTATACCAATACTAAATAACTGTATGACCTTTATAAAATATATTTCAGTGTTTTTATGATTATACATCTACTTAAAAGTTCTAGTTCTAGGTGTCTGTATTGCTTTCATTAGCACTAAGCACACAAAACAGCTAGAAATGTGCAGACACCTTTACAGTATACGTCACTTCCCCCTTTCCCCCCTTTGGATACTGTTGATATTCAGGCAAAGCGGCACCTTACTGCAGGGATTTATACATGTGTTAACTATGAAATTATAAAACATAACATTATATTTATCTGTTTCAAAGCAGGAATACAGTACAAAACAATGGTTGAACATTTCTTATTTTCGACATAGTCTTATAACATTGTTTCACCACAGTTGATTCATTACATTGAACAATACTTTTCATCTTTCGCACAGCTAGTGGAAACAGAAATGTAGTTTAATCCAACTGCAGGCTACCGGGAGATCATCGCTTTGCCCTGGTCCTGATGGGAAATGTCGTCTTCCTTCAGGAAAAAAAAAAAGACGACTTTAGTCCACTGGGGGGAGCCAAAATCGACCGAAACTGAAAGTTTTTCAGTATTGCTTTAAACGTTTAAATGAGAATAATAAGCACAGCTTCCCAAGTTGGTTTCAATCGTTGTTAAAAGGTCATTTTAAAGCAGGCAGGAACTCAGGGTAACACAACTTCACACAGTGTGAAGCTGAAATGTCAGTCCAGTTTCCCAAGTCCTGCAGGAATAAATTCAACATGTTTTTTTTTTATAGTTAACATGTGCTATGATAGCAGCTACAGTCAGGTCATCCTTTGTGTTTTAGGTCCGTCTGTATGAGTGGACGGCTGAAAAGGAGCTGAGGACTGAGTGCAACCACTATAACAACATTATGGCCCTTTACCTGAAGACCAAAGGAGATTTCATACTGGTGGGGGACCTGATGAGGTCTGTCCTGCTGCTGGCCTACAAACCCATGGAGGGCAACTTTGAAGAGGTGAGATGTGATGAAGAAAACCCTTAAGAGTTCTAGAAAGTAATAAAACGAGAGAGGAAAAAAGCAATTTTTACTCTCAACTCACAGGGTTTTTATTATGTTTAAGTTCTGTGTTGTTATCTTTAATTATATTTTAGAGATTTTATTTGGTATTTGGTTCATTTTAAGTCACATTGTGTTTTCCACACAAAAATTGCAGAATAAGTCATTAGCAGCTAATTAAACTGAAATTTAAATTTATAGTCAAGCCTTTGTTTAAATCAAACAAAGTGGAGACGTTACCAACTCATTAGGAAAAACGATAAAAGATCACTGTGTCTCTTCTATGTCCATCACAGGCTTCACAGCTAATTACAGAGCAGGTCTTTGGCTAAACTGCATTGATTTCCTCCCTTCAATATTAGAGTTCATCATAATTTGCACACAAAAAAAAACTACAGTTTTATACCTTCATAAAACAGTGCTCCTTAAAAAAAAATTAATGAATGGCAAAAGATAAAACTTGAGTAAAAACCAGAGGTGACAAAGCTTCAAACACAGCCAGTAACAGCTGGAGGTCGTGTAGGAACTCCTTATTTGGCAGCTTACTCTTGTTTATCATTTGCATGCATTTGCAAACATTTTTTATTTTTCAAGTCAAACCTGTGCATGTATACCTGTCATATTTTTTTTCCCAGATTGCCCGTGATTTTAATCCAAACTGGATGAGCGCCGTTGAAATTCTAGACGATGACAACTTCCTGGGAGCAGAGAACGCCTTTAATTTGTTCGTCTGCCAGAAGGATAGGTGAGAAAAGCATAATCTCTCGCTGTGAAGCTCAATGATCATTTTCCTTTTTGAAGTTTTTTTTTTTCTTGTATTCATATTTATATTCATTATATTTCCCAGAGCTGCTCTTTCAGATCAGAACTACCCAAAATTTCCCTAAATCATGTCTAATGCTCGCTCGTTTAGACAGATGCCGTCATTAAGATGCTGCTCCCTCCACACACAGCTTTTAGAGCAGCTTCGTTGGTATAAAAGTGTTGTGCAGATTTGTCCTTGCATTTGTGTTTGAAATTATGATTCATCTTTCAGCCGAGGTTTTAGCTACTCTCCTGCTTCTTTCTTTTTGTGGTAATTTCACTGTTGGACGAGTGTTGACTTTACAGAAAAGGAAGAAAGATGTGGTCTGAAGGAGCTTGTGTTCCATCTATGCCTTCACTCATTATCCATCTAATATGTCAGAGTGGACCTCACAATGCTTTTGACCTTTATTTTTGTTGCAAGTCTCTGTTACTGTTGCTCTTTTCACTGTTTCTTAGCCTTTTAGCCATTACCTCTCTATCATTCGGCGACCTTTTCCAACTGTTCTCGTGTCTCTGGCCTCCTTGTTTTCTATTTGATTGATCGATAGTTTTGCCCCCAACAAGTTCCAGTTTTGCCCTTGACATTATTTTTTACGTTTTCCCAAAAGCGCGGCCACCACCGACGAGGAGCGCCAGCACCTGCAGGAGGTTGGGGCCTTTCACCTCGGCGAGTTCGTAAATGTTTTCTGTCATGGCTCACTGGTGCTACAGAACCTGGGGGAGAGCTCCACACCCACCCAGGGATCTGTGCTCTTCGGCACAGTTAACGGCATGATTGGTAAGCTGTTGGGCAACTTTCACCCTAAACAACGCTTGGTCTTTTTATTTAGCTTTGAAAATATTCAGCCATTTTATGGATGTTTAAATGTTCTGTCTTGCTTAGAGACACAAGATGAAAAGCTGCATCTGACGCTCATGTCCGTGCTGTGGATAAATACCGCCACCTTGTTTGTTTTTTTATTATAAAAAGGGAAACTGGGGAATCTTTAATGTCGAGGTCATTGAAGTTAACTAATTATCAGTTTTTCAGCTGCAATGCAACTTAAGTCATAATATAAAGTTTTGGAAGGACTGACTATTTTTTATCTATCCTATTTATTTTTCTGCAATACAAAACTGAGGTTTTGCGTAGAAAAGAGTCCTTATGTTCTTTTTTTTTTTGTAATACAGCAATAAATCATCTTTTTGCAATAATCACAATAGATTTGGCAGGGTTTAAATTCCCATCCACCACTGGCCAGAAGTGGTAATGTAATGAAGTGGCAGATTTTAACACTGTCCCAGCTACAGTGGTGGGTTGTAATCTAAATAGAAATGTCCAATGTGAGCAACTGTCTAATTTGCCACTAGTCTTCATCATTTTCAGGAAAAAAGAAAAAAAAAGGAGAAACTAGACTGCTTTTAGGAATAAGGTGTTAAAGGCTCTGAGAAACCAGCACATATTTAACTCACAGCTGTTTTCTACAGCTCTGCTATAGATGCTCCATGGATGGGCTACCTGTTAGGCTAACAGCAGGAGATGCTTTTATACTGTGCCACATTTTTTGGTTCAATCGACAACTTGTAACCAGGGGAATAACTGATACACAACATTTTTACGTTCCACCCCTGGTTTTTACACACAGGTCTGCATACAAACCTTTTTTACACTGCATGCAATTCATTTTGATCTAAACTGTAAAAAAAATTCCAAATAAAATGAAGCTTATTGATTTTCCAACAAGCTGTTGTATTATGTGACAAAACCTTGTTACATGGCGTTGAATAATAAATTGTATTTTAGATAGTTCAGTATTGTGCATTATGATATGTAGCTCAGTGTTCTAGATATGTAAAATATAGCACAGCTTTGAGCTTTATAGTACAGCATAGTATGATACAGCCTAACTAGATTACTATAGAGTTTAATAGAATAGAAAATCCCTTTATTGTCCCACAATGGGGAAATTCTGCTGTCTAAAGAAGCAAAAACATTATAGGAAAAATGGTCACACAATATAGTATAGAATAAACTAGTGCCTGTGTAAATAATCAGTCATCAGAACCATAAAATGGGTTTAAATCAGAGGTGATCAGACTTTTCTCTCAGTGTCACTACAAGTCTACAGCTGCTGGCTCCATTGTGCTCAACAGTGCGATGTACAATTTTGTATAGCAGATATACACAGTGAGAAGAGCAAGTATTTAATGCACTGCAGATTCTGAAGGTTTTCCCACTTGCAAAGTATGTAGATGCTTTCATTTTCATCATAGGCCCTCTTCAACTGTGAATAACAGATTCTAATACAAAACACAGAAAATGTCAGCGTCACTATGTAGATTGCATCACACCATAAGGCAAGAGTTTAAGGCAACTTTATTTATAGAGCACAATTCAGAACAAAACAGCTGGACCACAAATCTAAACTAATGTACCTCGGTTAACAGCTTATGGCAGCTTTGCAAAAAACAATATATCAGTAATATATAAGCAAGTAAAGTTTGCATGGTGTAGTGTTGTATAGTTTAGGGGTCTACTTAGCAGTGCAGTATGTCCTTGTATATATAATGCCTCAGCATTTTATACTATATCCTCTTTAAGTAGATTGAGCAAAGGACTGTAGTACAGTGAAGTACACTATAGTACTGTTTTGCATAATATAGAATATTTTAAAAATATATATTTTTTTATAAAGCATGAAACATCGTCCATCTTTCCAAAGTAACAAAGCCTCCTTTGATGTAGGTTTGTTTTTCATTCTGCTTATTAGGTTTTCGTGCCAAGAAAAATGAAAAGGCTCTGTGTTTGGAGAACACTTTTACTTAACAGGAAGGGAGATAAAAATGTCTCTTGATTGCAAAGGGTGCAGATTTCTGTTCGTAGACAATCTGTGAAGCTCTTTGCAGAAAGCTGTTTGGAAAAAGCCTTTCAAAAGCAAACAATCAGAGAATGATTGGCTGACCCATCACTGGCACTGACGTGTGGGAATTAGGAACTAGCCTTGCAGAACTGCTGGATTTCTGACACACTGGTTGAATCTTCAGATGCATCATATGGCATTCCCCTGAGTCACTGGGAAACTCAAGAAATTCTTTGTTTTTGCGCAGTATGTTCACCAACCTTACTGCCTTGGAGTTGGTAGGTGTTACTGTTTGTGTTATTGCTGTATAGTAGTTTTTCTGCGGGTTGTTTGCCACCTTTAAATCCCTTGTGCTTCAGGGTCACTGCAGGTCATGTTGGCAATTTTGGCTCAAGCTCATTTGATCAATCTGGGCCATATCACCTCTGGGCCCTCATTGCATCTCGTTCATTACACAGCTGTGTAAAACATTTAACACTGTACTTTTAAACTGTTGGTGGAAAGTCGTTTTCCCCGCAATTTTTAAAGAAACAGAGAATTTTCCCTAAACAGGTTTCTTTAGATTCCTGTTTTTCTTGGTTTTCCCTCTCTGTGGTGTCTTCACATCCAGACACTTATTGATTTTATGCTCTGACACTCACTGTTGAGACTTCTGCTCACTGTCTTGATTCAGTGGATATGAGCAGGATTTAGGTTGCAGAGCTCCAAACTGTACAGCTTTGTTTCTTTCCTAAGAAGCTTCTCAGGATGAATCCAAAAACATCTGAGGTTTATTTTCTTCTGCAGGCAGATATTAGTCTATTTATAATACAAAAACAAAAAAACCCTTTAACCTTAATGATACAATTAAACTAAAGGTGCTTCAAAAATGATTGGAATTAAAAAGCATATTATACCAATCTATTTATACTAAGATGCTTAACAACCCCTTTCTTTAAGAGAAGATTAACTTTCCAGACAATAAGATAAAACTTAAGGCAATCAGGTCTCAGTACTCTGATTAAAACCAGTAACTTTCAGCCTGGCAGTATGAGAAAGAAGATGGAAAAAGAGGAAACAGACATGGCAGTCCCAGAGCTCCACAACACCTCAACAACTTTTGTGATTCTTTAAAAAGTAGCAGAAGAAAGTTTCACAGGAAATGAAAACAAAGGTCTTCTTGCTCCGTGAGACTTTTCCTCTCCAATCCAAATGAGCTTCAGCAATAATAAAGATAAAAGGCCACTGTCGGTCTTATCGCTCTGCGGGATGCCGTGATGTATGATATGTTTTCTTTTTCAGAAAAAGCTGCAAGGAGATGGGATTATTTCCTCCAGGAAAAATAAAATAAAAAATCATCAAACTGAGATGTCGACAAACTTTTCAAAGACTTTTAAAATCAGATATTACAATCAGAAAAAAATGATCACCATCAGTAAAAAAGGATGGAGATTAATCTTCAGAGAAATTATGTAAGTATCTTTTATTTATGTCATCAGGCCGATAGTGAGGAGTCCATTTTGGCAAAGATCGCTTTATACAAGCAATCTTTTTCCAGACTGATTATAAAACCAGGATGTTATTTATTCCTCCTATTTAGTCCCCAACTGGAATATTTTATCATAAAACACAATCAGACAGCATCGGAATAATGTGTTAAGTTTCCGACATTCATGTTTCCTTCCACTGCTGTGATGCTGCCAGAGAAACAGCTGGCAGGGTTATAACCCTCTCCTTGCGTGTCATTAGAGGGTTTAATAACAAATTCATTAAGGGAGCAACAAAGCTTCAAATGAACAAGACTGACACAGCAATCCCTTCTGTTCCATTGGCCTCCATTTTTCTCCTCAATTTATGCACGTTGGTAAAGTACTGATACTTGTTTAAAGGCCATAAACCTGTATCTCCTGATTATAAGAGCAGCCTTGATTGTCTCTTGATTTTAAAGAGCCAGAAATGAATAATACAGAAGATATGAGAACAATGAAATAAACATATCAAGAGGAATTTGTGCCCAAAGAGATGTGGGAAAATAAGTGACCTGTTTAAAAAGGGCTTTTTATGTTTTTAAAAGTCCTACTATTAGGTAACAATTAGTTTAATTTGGTATAATTGCAGCTCTTTACTTTTTTAAAACCACCTCATGGTGTCTGATACAGAAAAACTATCTCTGCAGGTCAACAGGAGCAGGTTTCTGCTTGGAATCAGTTATGGGATTTTTTTCACAGGTTATATTCATACAGTAACCTTTTCATAAAAGCTAATGAAATGGAATTTTTACCGCAAATACATTTGAAGAATTTATTCAAACAGTAAAATTTCTAGATATGTGGAGGTAATAAAAAGATGCAGCTAGTATAATTTACTCTTCCGCAGAAATATACATTCTGAATTCCACTTAAAAGCTTTTATCGAAACAAGGAAACTTTTAATTTATTGTAATTAAAAATAAAAGATAAAATTTTTCCCAAACCATGACACTTCCACCTCTGTGCTTCAGTTGGCCTTAGGATGGATTTAATGCTGTATTTGGTTTAAATCAAACATGTCCACTTTTACAGTTTCTAAATACTTCAAATTTAGACTTATCTTTACAAAGAACATTATTCCAGAAGACCTTTCACATCAACGGTAGCAGAACATTCCTGCTCTAGATGCTGAGCTTTAATGTTTCTAAAGACTCCCTTTAGCACCTTGCTATTAGAGTAAACCTGCTCTGGTGACCATATCCAGGCATGTTGATAGTTTTCCGTTACCTTCACAGTCGTAGACCTTTTTCCAAATAGGGGGATGGCTGATTTGAAATAATTCTGAGATTATTTTTAATTCAGTCCTATTTCTGACAGCTCCTGGTCTCTGGTTTAAACAGGAAAAACTTTCCATTGCAGTAATTTTAGCCAATTCCACTAAAAATTAATACCAACTCATTTATTCATCATCATCCAGATTGTTGTTTTTTTTTCAAACATCTTTTAGATATTTAAAGTTTTATAGGTTTATTACATAAAATTGATGTGTTGTGTAAAAATTTCAAAAAATATATGCAGATATGTTGGAATAAAAAACAGATTTCGGTGAGTCCTTTTATTTGTTTTTGTTTTTTGTGTTTATTCCTGAAATACAAGTGTGAAGCCTAAAGTTGCCGAATCATATACTATGCTCATTAATTAATACACAAAAACAATCTATAAGTTATTCAAAACAAAAAAATATACACCAATCGTTCACCCTGAGAGTTCACTGATTCCTTTTTAGCCTTATAACAAGTTTTGCACCAGGTACAATCCACAGACATGAGGATTGTACGCAGTTGGCAGAACTTAATCAGACTGTGAACTGAAATGTTTATATTGTGTTCTAAGCGTTTCGTCTTTATCCTTCCTTTCATCTTATAATTTATTGCCGTTTTCACACTTGAACTTGAGCTTTTTCTCGTCACAACTCCGCTAAGAAAAAGCAGATTTGCTGGACTCCATTGCTTGTATTGTATCTCTGATTGTGTTGTTTTATTACAGGAAATGTACAAAATGCTTAAGTTTAAAAAAGAAATGGACTAAAGGCAAAGTGTAAAACTCAAAAAATATAGTATAAGCCAACAGGGTGCTACAAATTATTGGGAAAGCCTTTGAATGTAACAAGAGTGAGCTATTTGCCTAAACATTCATAGTCATAGTACAGGACTTGGTCTCTTTTCATCAATGCAGTTAGTTTTTTCTCACATGGCTAAAGACAGAGTATTAACCCTGCACTTTTTATTCTGACATCAAATCTGATTATCTGTGTGCCTTTTTCAGGTCTGGTGACGTCTCTCTCCGAGGGTTGGTACAGCCTCCTGCTCGACCTACAGAACCGCCTCACCAAGGTCATCAAGAGCGTGGGCAAGATCGAGCACAGCTTATATCCTTTTCTGAACCCCTGCAGCTGACCGGGACTGACAGGGTGGTTCTGGGGAAATAAGCAATATTGACATCTTTCACTAACTTTGAAAGGTTATTTAAGGGTTATTGCTCAAATAATAAGTTGATCACCATTCTGCTGCAAGTTGTTATTAGAGGGACTTAAAAAAAAAAAAGATTGGAAGAGAAGTTCTTTTAAGGATTTTGTTCTAAAACTCAGATTATGTTTCATCATCCCTTTTAAAAACTTCTGTCTTCCTTTTATTTCATAGCCAAAGGATGTTTATGCCCTCCGTATGCTCTCAGGATAGAAAAGAAAGGTTAAAGAGAGGCCATTGTGATCAGCAGAATCTTAGTGAATTTAAATGATATCACCTGCTGGATATGCTTTGACTCTGCCTGAGGTGAAGTTTGCACGGTCACTGTAAGGCCCATCCTCAGGCTAAAGCATCCTTCAGATAATGATTTATCCTTAACCGAGTGACACCTGGAGGTCCTTCCACACGGAGCGGAAGACAGAGCAGGCCACAGGGTTCATCGATGGGGACCTGATTGAAAGCTTCTTAGATCTGAGCCGGGCGAAGATGCAGGAGGTGGTCAGCACTCTGCAGGTGGGAGCAGTTTCCTCTCAGCTCAAAGTGCAACACTGATCATTAACATCCGTTATGTAATGCCTATGGTTGTAGTTTTCTACAAGTTTTTGTACATCTCTTTAAAAACACTTACATCTCCAACATCCTTTGGTTTCTATCCTTATTTAAATCACGCAAGTTTTATTTTGATTAGCAGATGGGGAGCCATTTCAGAAGATTTCATGAATTATGTTAAAGTTATGTTGCTTTTAAATCTTTAAAATTCTATTTAGTGTTGAAGAATCTTTGGGGACAAGCTTCCCTTTTCCTGTTGAACGCAGAATAATGTTTGTTGCATCTATTTCTCTAGATTTTATCACCAATCTGTCCTTTAAACCAAAATTACAGTATTCCAAACCAGGTTTTCTTTGCAAGATAAAGGAAGGCAAGAAAACTAAATGTGACATTTCTGTTTCTAGACTATACTCACCGATCCCCTGACAAAAAAATAACAAAAATCAAAATAAAAGTTCCTCCTTTATCGATCAATCATTCAACCAGCTGTCTGTTAATCACTTTATCTGGGTTACATGCATCCCTAAATATTTATGTGCAAAAATATCTAAAACTCCAAGTTAAGCTTTTTTAATTTTGCATTAGCCAATAAAAGTTTGGGCCTGGGAACCTGAAAAATTTCATGAGTTTAGTTTTCCTTCATGTTCAGTGAAGCTGCTTTTACTGTCAGGAAAGTAAGACATTCTGATTGCTAAGGTTCTCCTTTAACCTTTACGGATCCAAAGTTCCATATCTAAATAAAAAAATATTGTTTTTCCTTCTTTTGTGACATGATAGATGAATAGATTGATATTGAGATTTATTTTTTGTTGTTTTGTTCCATAATGGGTTTTTTCAGTCCTTTAAGAGTATTTATTTATCCATCAGTCAGGCTGACAGTCTGTCAGTCAATCGCCCTCAAAGAAGATTATCTCCTTTTGCTTGGATGTTTTCTGAGTTTCCTTTTTTCTGTCTCTTTCTGTTTGTGAGGTATTTTTTTTCTGTTAAACTACATGGGGAAGATTTGAAGGCTGAGTCTTTCTTTAGTGGTTAAGAGCTTTAGTCATTTTAGCCTCCAATAGCCTTTCCTGATATCTGACACGCTGAAGTGGGCATCCTGCTGTCTGGGCGCTGGCAGTCACAGCCCAGATTGTTTGTTTGCTCACAGTTTTGGCTCTGTTTTTATCTTCTAAAATCAATGAGAGGAAACAGTTTAGATCCACTCAGATCAGATTTATCCAATGAATCCATTTTATTTTTACTTCTTAAAAGTTTGTCTCACAATCCTGGTGTCCTCTTATACTTTTATGTGGAAATGGAATAGATTTTGGATCTATTGATGTTAACAGGTTATTTTAAACATTTCTAAATTCGCTAAAATATCTCAAGTGTTGTCTAAGCATTCCCAGACTCTTAAAGGGGTCATAGAGTGATTATATAGGGTATTTGGTAATGGTCCTTAAGGTCTCTGAATAGGGTGTGTAACATTGGTTGGGCTGAAAATGGCATATTTACTGTTCTATGAGCCTTAATGCAAGCCTGGTTAAGAGCCCTAAAATGAAACGACAGGTTTTCTTCCTTTTATGGTATGCTCAGGAATATTTAGATGAGCTGTGCGCTGATTGGTTGGTTTACAACAAAAGACGCAATCACTCACTTACTGAAACATCAAACTTCAAAATCGTCCAGGATTTTGGTCGACTACAGTGCAGCAGAACCGAGCCGGTGCAGGGAGGCCGCAGGGGACGGAGCGACCGAATACGACCCGGTGACAATAGCCATGGCCCTGTGTTTCCCCCCGCCTGCCTTACCGGGCACCGTGTTGCGTTCAGTCGCTCCGGACCTGGACCAGCCTCGGAGCTGATGGCTCGGTTCGAATGCCCGGTCCATGCATGAACTGGTGTATGTCAATTTCGGGACGTGATTAAAGTTCAGACCAGAACCAAATAAGACAACATCCCCGAAAATGACATCAACTCAGGGCTTCGTTTGGATTCGCCCGTTTTATGGTGGAAGTTTAGAATTGTGAGATTTGCAGAGAAAAGAGGTGTCGTTGGGGTTTGGACTTCTCTGTACGTCCATTTCACCCACTGAACTATCGTCACTCATCTATGAAAATGTAAACTCGGTTTGCATTCTATGATCCCTTTAAACTTTTTTCTTTTGACTGTGAAGCTAATTCTAATTGGAGCACCTTTGATAGTGAAGTTTAACAGGAGCGACTCAGCACAGCAGAACGATTTGCCTTTTGATAGTATTTAAAATCTAGTTAAGCCAATCATTTACGGACGGCTCGTTTAGTTTCCTGCCCCACCCATTCTTTCAGATTTGGACTTTGACTGATCTGTAGCAGCAAAATCATCCTTGTTTTTGCAAACATTGTTCAGCTTCATGGTTTCATTTCAGCCACGCTGCAGGTATTAGTTAATAATATTTAGATTAGCTGTTAACAGTGCTTTGTCAGATTCTCTACCGACAGAAAACATCCAAATCATCACTGATCTGGCAGAATGCACAAATATACCATTTATCCAAAAAATGGCACATTGCTTTAAATTTAGCTGAATTAGCTTATTTGTAAGATGGAGAAACGGAATTTATTCACGTTTATAAATATGATGCTATATTTTAATAAAATCTGTTGGTCTTTTGTTATAATACTATAAAGTTAGAGAACAGAAATCATGCCAACCAGTTTAGCTGGTGCTGATTTTTATTCAGTTGCTTTTTGTTTCAAGAATGGAGAAGTTTCTCCTTTAATTATAAATGTTTTCTTTCTTTGTTTTCACCTTCTGGTGCAATTAGATTAAAATAAAGTGGAGGGGAAAAAGCTGCAGTCTGTTGTCTATGTGGGCCAGATGAAAGATTCCAGCTTTTTGCGTTTTCACTTCAAAAGAACATAAGTGAAACTGTGGGAACAGAGCAAAGGAAAATAATACTTCATTTAAAGGAAATATTTTTTTGACATCCTAACCTCCCGCTTTTACTCATAAGTGCTGCTTGTCTCTGCTCACAGCGTGTTGTCTTTCATTTTCAGATCGATGATGGCAGCGGCATGAAGCGTGAAGCCACAGTGGACGAGGTGATTAAGATAGTAGAGGAGCTGACGAGGATCCACTAGCTCCTCGCAGACCCCCACCCCCTCCTTTGAATTTACAGATGTGTAAATAATTATAAACAGTGTGTGAGTTCTCAGCCTTTCACTGAGCTGTCTGCTGCTCAGACCTTGAAAGGTGCTTCATGGTGAGTGGGAGCTCTGGAGGTGAAGTGCTTACAATGTTGGGACGATCAAAGTAACCATGGTCTGAGTAAGACTTCCTCAGCAGATCCATGCTCCCAGATAACTGTGACAGTTTAGGACAGGTTAAAGGTTTGTTGATCTGAAATAAATGATGTAAGAAACAAAATAAGGAAATTGATAGATTTATAGCTATTTTGTCTTTGTGATGTTTCCTTTGTTTATTCTAATAAACCATGTTTTAGTACTGTTTCGTGTCTCCATCTTTAATCTTTAACTGATTCAGCTTTATTTCAACATATTTGTTTGCCTGCAGTTTTAACTCAGATTAAGACATAATATGAGATTTTTTTTTTTTTTTTTACCCTGTGAAAGATCGCAGTACAATTATTTCTAAAGCCAGTCTTTCAAATAAAATTAACAAAACTCCTATGATCACAAGTGTAAAGGAAGACGTCAAACACTCAGGTCCAGTCTGCAGTTTATAACCACCCACAAAGTGCATAAAGTCTGGGCTTGAATTTTACTTGAACTTTTTTTTATCAGTTGGCTGTTAAATACAAAACTAGAACTAGGAGGTTCAAACATGTATTTTGGAACAAATGTCTTCAGGTTGCAAAGAGCATGCATGTAGATTTTAAACCAATCTTCTTTGCCTAATTGATGGAACTTCTTAAATATTTTTGTTCTCTTGGCATGAAGCTGCCGTTTAGGCAGAATAAAATTTTACTACATGTTTAGTTCCTTATTCAGAAACCTGCTACTCTCCTAAAGCAGTTTAGATGTGCGCTTTGGACCAGTGACTTGTTGGAACACACTGAAGATGGTGAGGTGAAACCAAGAAAAACAAAAATGTACCAAGTTTTAACATCATTTTTTTGGACCAGGCTGATTGAGTAAGAAGCATCTTGTCAAAAGCTAACATCTCAAAACCTGAATGAATCGTGCAGCTGCCTACATGTAGAGCACAAATACATCTCAGGAAAAGTTATACATTTAGAAACATTTAAAGTATTGGCTTATCCAAACATTCATCGTAGGTTTGATCCAGGATTATTGCTCCAGCTGTGGAAATTATCCATCCTACATGGCACAGACAAAAATAAGAAACAACAACCTTCTTTGAATTTTTCAAAGTACAGAATTCTTTACAATTCATTCAAAATCCACTATATGAATAAACCTTACAACTGAACAGAGTTTTTACTCTATGTTTTTGGAGTGGGTTACATTGGCAGACATAAACACTCTGGACCTCAACCTCTGACAAAAAGGTTTTCTATCAGTTGTCAGAAACCTAAACCTCTTAAGATGATTGATCAAATATTGAGCCAGAATTCTGCAGCAATCTAATGTCAACACAAAGCCCTTCTTGCAACTTGCTAAGGAACATTAAACATTTGCAGATGATTGATTTGTGTGTATTTTTCAGCTTGTTTTGCCTTCTTTTGAATTACATAAACTTTTCATTAAATTTTTACTCAATCTGTATTTTAAAACGATAATAGTTCGGAAAGACTCCTCTTTAAGAAAAGGCCAAATGAAATCTTAAAAGGTCCACATTTGATAGTGTATGAAAACCTTTGACTTGCAAGAAAAGGTTTCAAGCCGTGGGAGCAAACGTTTGTCTTGCTTAGTGGCTGTTCTTATATCAGCTTTAAATGCTGAGTATTTGTTAAATTCATACGATTGCTGCTGTTATGTGCAGCCAATGCAGTTTTGCTGCTGTTAGCTCACACTGCTTTAATGAATACTTACAAGTAGGAAAATAATGTTTTATTTGTGAGTCTGACTTCTTAAAATAGTAGAAGCCTCCTCTGAAGAACTTTATTAATTTCTGTTCAGTACATATTTCATTTTATCCTCAGTAGACAATGTGAAATGGGAATATACAACCTCTGTTCTGTCAGAGCAAACGGGTCCTAGCAGCTTGGGTACAGGCAGACTGATGGTGAAATCTCATTTCAGTAATAATGCTCTGCACCGAGGATTTGTAGAAACTGGTCATGACTGGCAGTCCAAGTCATCTGCCAGTTCTCTGCAGCTATTTCTGTCCTCCTTTCTTTCCTGAGGCACACAGGCTCTTGTTTATCTCTTGTTTCAAACTCGGACTGGATTTTCTTTATTTTTAACATTTTAAACCCTGTTATGAACTATTACATAAATAGTGCCAATCCACAATTTCAAAAGTGCATACATCATATTTCATTTTGATGTTTTTAATTGAATAACAAATATGGTAAATTTAAATATTTCCCCCTGATGTTAGAATAGACTCTTAAACTCCAAAGGAAAACGTTACGTCATTTCACGTGACCTAAAAGCATGTAGTCGTTTGTGCTTTTACTCCCTCTGTAAATGGACTGAGTTTATATAGCAATTTTTTAGTCACATAATTTTCTCTAAAGAAAGAGTTACACTCTAACAGTCAGAAACATCCCGAGGATAAGTGCCTTGCCCAGGGGCGCGTTTAGATGTGGCAGGGGAAGTGGAATCCATAATGCTCATATGAGCCACTGAACCACAGCCTCCTCAGTATTAATGCTTTACCAAGGAGAGACCAGCAAACAAAATACCCCTATAGCACAATATGATTTATTCAAACCAGCAGGGTTTGAGAAATAAAATGGCTTCCAGATTTCTTGGTTATAAATCCCCATAGTTTGACACTATGTTAAAAATGTCTATATCTCTACAAACAATTATGCTCTAAAGTTATAACCCAGGGTTGTTTATTAATAATAGCAAAAAAACTACATTTCTAATTAATATTTCTAATGAGAACTCATATTTACTTAATTACAGCCCTTTGTTCAACAAACTACCCAAATGCAAATATTGCAGACCTGGCTAAGCTCTCTATAGAGTATTGTTTTTTATTACATAATGTTGTTTATTTTAAGCAAGAACAGATAATGAACAGATGTGTAACTCCCCTAAATACCCATGGGGAGATAAAAACATTGCTGAAAAACAGAGGAAAAACAATAGAGCTGTGATTTACATATTTGAAAATGAGTGGGAAGAAAAGCAACTTATTTAATTCCGCTCTATTCTCCAAAAATGTAACTTTTGCCCTTTTTTTTAATACAATAATTCCCTTCTTTAAGAGTCACATGAAACTATTTTATTATGAATTATTCTGAATTGAATTGCTAACTTTGTTTTCTATATAAACAAGAAATAAAACAAAGTTCCACTGATACATTTATATAACTGAATGAAATTATTTGATAACAATTTTTGCCATTAGATAAAACCCCAACAGACAGACAGATGTTTGCATATAGCTTGTATTACATACATACAGACACAGTGGCAACATATTTAGACACTCCGTCTCCTTATAACTTTTGAATATTACAGCTTAAATGCCCAATTTTATGCTACATTTGAGAATAAAAGAATATTAACAAGGAGGCCCCCCGGAGCATTTTATTTTGTGCTGTTTTTGAGGAGAATTCCTGCAAAAAGTGGCAGTGTTATTTTACTGATGTGTATTGTTAACACAACACCCACAGTATTTCATTACCACTACAACTAAGATTTTAACCCTTGCATTGTTGCTGCGTATAGACCACTCTGGGCAGCTTTTTCCCCCCCATGACATCATAAAGGGGATGCTTTTTAAACGGAGCATTTTGAGCACACATTAACAAAGGGGTGGAGAAAGGCTGTGAAGGAGGCGATCAACCGAACATCAAAAATAATCAGCAGTCCAAAGACAGTCTTTTTCCAGGATCTAGTTTACCTACAAGGTTGGCTTACTGCATACAGCGAGGCTAACCTTTATTTTGCTACCTTGACTCCCTACCTTCTTTTTCAAACATCAGGATCTGACCCAGCATGGATAAAGCAGTTTTTAGAAAAGGCAAAATATAGGATTCACAACACCATCTGACTGGTCAAAAGGGCACAAAAGCACTTGCTGTGGAGGATGAGGAGAGCCCACCTGCCCCCACCCATCCTCACGACCTTCTACAGAAGCACCATAGAGCCAGCTGGCTCACTCTGTGGTGTGGAGGCTGCAACTCCTCAAACTGGAAGAAAGTGAAAAGAGAGGCGAGAACTGCAGAGAAGATCATCAGGGCTCCTCTTCCCACCATAAAAAAAATTTCATCCCAGCGCTGCTTGTCCCGAGCCAGTAACATCATCAGTGACTCCCAACACCCCCAACATGGACTGTTTCTTCCTGCTGCAGTCTGGGAAGAGGCTTTGCAGCATTCAATGCAGATCCAGCAGATTCCTAAACAGCTTCTTCCCCACTGCCATCAGACAGCTGAACTGTTGCATAATTGCACCCAGGCTCGGACTGGTAATCTGTCGAGCATGATGATGCTCGACAGATGACAAATGATGCATGCTGTATTTGGTTCAGCGTGGCGGGCCGGCCCACCTTAAATCATACTGGCCCCAACACTTACTCTCCAGCCAAAGCGCCTACTTGTGACAGTAAATAACTTAAAGCAGTAATACAATGTTCACTACCTAAATGATGCATGCTGTATATATAGTCCTTCCTTTTCATACACATCCTTATGACGGTTGGCATATGGTGTAATTTTCTATTTCTTCAAACTTAAAATCCTTGCTAAAAAAAAGAATTATGATGGGGTTTTGCATCTAAATGCTAATGCTTCCTGTGCATTGTTGCCAGTTTGGGATGTTTCCCAATCTGGCAGTTTAGGATGGCCGCCTATGGATAAAAAAATATTGTTCTTTAGATTTATGGCCTAAGAGATCAATAGACTTTGGTTCAAATTGGGCGAGATTTCGTATATCCAGGTTTATGAAAATTTTTTGGGCTGGAAAACGAAAAATAAGTGGGCCAGTGTAGATGGAAAAATGCCAGGGCCGAAAATCATTCCCAGTCAAAGCCTGATTGCACCATATATATAATGTTTCTAATGCTCTGAACTTCCATATAACTGTGTTTTTTGCACCATGTTTTTTCCTCGCACAATGTTAACATTTGATCACTGCTGCACTTTAAGAAATGGAAATGTCAAGAAAGTGGTGCAAAACGAAATTTCGTTTTGTATACACTGTGTATACAAAATGAAAATAAAAGTTGTCTAGGTATTAATTATGGTCCAACAGTTCTTGGCAGCTCACACAGTATATGATAAAATCTTACTCTGCAGGGATTTGTGTTTTGGACATAATTCACATTAGTGTACAGATTTGTTATGTACGTTGGAGAAATATTTACAGGAATTAAACTCCATGGTTAGTTGCTGTCTTTGCTTT